AGAGGCAAGACAGAGAGAGAACGAAAACCAGGTTTTTGGCTGAGTGACCGGGTCAGGGACGGGTGGGGTGAAGGCGTGAATTCAGTTTTAGGCCTGTGTGGACGAGTGTCTCTGAGAGGATGGGGGAGGGGCCGGCCTGTATCTCGTGGAGGTGGACTGGGGTCCCAGCACCAAACTCCCCCCCACGCCCCCGAGCCCCTGGGAGGGACCACAGTTCACAAACCACACACACCGTTTGGCAGCAAAGATCAGCGCCAGGTGTCACGGTCTTGGAACCTCCGAGCGTAACCGAGGCTCGAAGGTGGTGGCGAGTCGGCCCTCCGGAAGCCAGCGGCCCCTGCGGGTCCGATGGGCCCGAATGGAAGCGTCCCAGAGCGGGGCGCCAGGCCGTGAGCAGCAGAAGCCCCGGGCCGTGAGGACCCGCAGTGCCCGGCAGACGGCAGGCAGTGTGGACCAGGCAAGGGAACCCGCCACTGCAACCCCCTCTCAGGGGAGCATGTCCTGCAGGGCCTCCGGGCAAAGGGATGCAGAGGCACAGCTGTTCCCTGGGTCATCAACGCGGGCAGCCGAGGCAATGCCGGGATCCAGACAGGGGACACTAGACAGCTGTGAGAAGGAATAAGGAAAGAGCCCCCAGGAACATGCTTCAGTAAAAAGAATAAAATAAATAAAGGCAGGCAGAGGACAGTGTGAATAACGTGCTCTCGGTCGTGCAGCAGAGGGGAATAGGCGTGGGTATCGCTCGTCTGTGTGTGAGAACTGCGAAAGGCACACAGACCTAAGAAAGGTGGCTTCCTGTGTATATGGGGGGTACGAGGACGGGCAGAGGTGAGAATTTTAAACGGATGGCCTTTTAGAACGTGTGGCTTTTGAACTCTGGGTGTTGTATTAAAAATAGATACAGAAATTCCAGATTAAAAACGATGGTGAACCACGTTTCCTCGAAGCCTCTCCCCTCTCTGAGGTTCCCGGTACCGTGCAGGTGACGGGTGGATGCCCTCATGTCCCCGTGTCCCACGACCGCCTGGGGACGGGCCCGGCAGGTGCGCTGCACTTGCTGCTTCTTTCAGGCTGGTCACAGCCCCTTGAGGATGGAGCTGCCCCCCGGGGGCTCTCTTCTCCTCCCCAGCTACCCACAGCCCGGTGACCCCAGAAGGATGCGGGCCTCTGGGGGCAGCAAGCTGGCCTGAGTGGGTGGGAGGGTGGGAGCCAGAACAGTGGGCGTGGGGAACACTTCCTGCTGCTTTCGGTTTGGGTTCCTGGGGTTTGAAATTGAAACTAAAAGCCAAGGTTCAGCCTCAGCTGGAGCAGCGCCCCCCCCCACCCCCTTCTGGAGTTTGCATTTCTCCCCTTCTGGTGCCAGGCCCTCAGAGCACAGAGGCAATGCTTTCTGGAAGTTGTTGGAACCCCTGCAGAACACTCTGGATAATAAAATGGGCTGGAGCAGGGCATTGGGAGTCGGGCCTCCCCATCAAGTGGCCATAGCATCCTGGTTGACCTTGGCGGGACTGCCAAAGACAAACCTCGGAGAGGGAGCGAAACAGGGCTGGGAGGGGGACCCCAACCCAGATGGACACACTTACAGGAGAACCAGGCCCTTGGATGCAGTGGCTTTTGAGAGCAGCGTGACAGCATGGCACTGGGGCTCAAAGACATTCCTTTCCTGCATTCCCACCCACCTCGCCCCCAGACTGTGGCCTGATTAGGTAGAAACCCAGGGCCTGCCCAGGTGGTATTGCTGGGCGGGAGAAGGCTGCCTCGGTCCAAGAGAGGAAATCCACATCCTCGATCTGATCACTGAGTGACCTGGCCCCAAACCAGACACTGCCCTGGACACCAACCACTTCCCCAGTCACTGGAAGAGCAGAGGAGAGGCACACAGGTGTCACCAGGGCCCCAAATTGCACCTCTGAATTAGAAGATCCAGAAGAGCCTGCAGGTAGCCAATCAGCCAGGCCTGGGTGGAGTTCCAGCTATCAGCTGTGTGACCTTGGTCAAGTCATTTATCCTCTCTGAGCCTCAATTTTCTCCCGTATAACATGGAGAAGAGTTTTGGGATCAGTAAGTAGAAGAACGTTTAGGGAGTGCTTGGCACAGAGTAGGAGCTCAAAAACTTGTTAATATTTGCCCAACCCAAGAGCAATTGTCCTTAATCTTATGGGGATTACAGGACCCCTTAGGGATCTGAGAAAGCCTGGACTTTCTCCCGAGAAAAATGTAGGTCTACACATACAACATGCTTTCTGGGGCTCTGAGCTGCGTGGCTGATGCCCTTGGAGGTGGACCAAGCGTTTGTCAGTGATTAGCCGCCTGGCACAGGGTCGTTTGCAGACCCTGGGGCCTGGGCTCGCTGTGCAGGCTGCACGCCCCACTGCGTGGCTCAGGGCAGCCTCCCGGAGTCCTGGGCTGGCTCCAGAGGAAACACTGAGCTTGCAGGCCCTGGTGTGGCAATTCCAGCTGCAGCCAGACTTTGCAGAGAGCTCCGCGCGTGCCCTCACCGCCCAGCCCCGCAGGCCCCTTTCCTTCCCAGGCCAGTCGGGAGCCCAGAGCTTGAGCAGACGCTGTCACGGGTCTCCTTTGAAATCCTCACGTGGCCTGACCCCCTGGGGTACAAACCCCGCCTCCCACCGCCTTCTCCCGACTTTCTTTCGTGCAAGGAGTGACCCAGGGCACGGAACTCGTCCCTCACTTCTCTCCTCCCACCCCAGCTGATTAACATATATACAACCCTGCAGCCCTGTGTCCTGGCTGAAATTACTTGGGAAAAAAACCCACCACACATTCTTTTAAGGTATTTTCTCCAAGCGTGGCCTGTCTTCACCCCTTCTTGTCCACCACCCCCCCCCCCCCCCATTATATGCGAGTTGCGGGTTTGGTTATCCTACACAAGCCTGAGAATTCTGAAGTTAAATAAATAAATATAAATAAATCAGCAGGCCTTTTACTCCGGGACTCCTTTCCAGTCACGTCTGTCCCCTTGGCTCTAAGTACTTACAAGGAAGCACGGTTTCTAAGTGGAAACACGATTGCCTGGGCCTGGGGAAAATTTACTGTTTGACTTAGAGCTCTAACAAGGCGGAAGCAGAAGACCTTCCAGCTCCTGCATCTCCTCGTGTGGCGGTTTATCTGGCCCTAAATAATCACAGCTGGACCTCTGGAATCATGGCCTCTTCAGACCCAGCACATCCACCTTGTTTCTGGGGGCCGTTTTGGAGAAAGAAGCATCGCTTACTAGCTCTTGGAGGAATTTTTTTTTTTTTTTAAATAAATTTATTTATTTTATTATTTTTGGCTGCGTTGGGTCTTCATTGCTACTCTACGTTGCGCTGCATGGGCTTCTCACTGCAGTGCCTTCTCTTGTTGCAGAGCATGGGCTCTAGGCACACGGGCTTCAGTAGTTGTGGCACATGGGCCCAGTAGTTGTGGAGCCCAGGCTTAGATGCTCCGCAGCATGTGGGATCTTGCCGGACCACGGCTCGAACCCGTGTCCCCTGCATTGGCAGGCGGATTCTTAACCACTGCGCCACCAGGGAAGCCCTGGAGGAATTTTTTACTTTTTTAAGGCATCATACTCCCAGGTAAACTCAGACCCTGTGCTGTAGAGGTGGATCATCACAGGGAGGAGAGAACCCGGCCCCCTCCTAGGACCCCCCACCCCCAACTCATACCTCCCAGGGCTCTGTGGTGCGGATGCAATTTCTAAGAGTTGAAATGCTAGAAACTGCTACAGGACACACACTATTGTTTTAGGATGAGGTATTTGTTAAGAGTTCTTTTATTAATAATTCATATCTTCAATAAAACCTACCAGAGGGTCATCAACTCATGTCCATGGTATCTGAAACCATAAAGCAATTCAAAACTATGTCTGTTAAGAATTGCTCGAGGCTGCAAGTAACTGAGGACCAAAATAACAGCCATTTAATACAAGATAAAAATTTATTTCAGTCTCATGTAAAAGAAACCCAAGCAGCAGTCCCGGGCTGCAAAGTGTCACCAGTGACTCTGGCTTTCTGTTCCACCATCCTCCGTGCAGGGTCTCCCTCTTCAAGGGCACCTCAAGATCCAAAATGACTGCAGGAGATCCAGCCATCACGTCTGTATTTTAGGCAGGAAACGGGAGGAAGGGCTGTTTGTCTGCTTTGTCTCTACCCTGGACCTTGCCTTACATTTCTTTGATTACTCTAGCTGCCAGGGAGGCTGGGGACTATGGTCTTTTAGCTGTGTGCGTGGTTTCCCAGGAGAAAACCAGGATTCGGTTGGTGAGAAAGGCAGTGTAGACGTGGATTATCAACGAGCAGTTGCTCCCACAACTCCCATGAACACACAGACCTAGGTCTGAACCCCAGCCTGCTACCTACCAGCTGCTGAATGAATACTCGCCATGGTGCCAGGCTGGAGCTGGCCTGGTTTGGCTGTGCCTGTTGGGTCTGTACTCAGGAAGTTTGCATTGAGAGGGTCAAGAAGAAGAATGGTTCTAGAGCCCATAAAGCCTTTGCTGTCTGCTGTGGAGGGAGTGTGGCTCCTGGGCCGTGGGCAGTAAGCCCACCGGAGGGCCTTGGACCACGTGCTGCTTCCTGAACTGAAAGATGGAGCGAGGCTGCATCACGTAGGATGCTACCTGCACAGAGAGCCGGAGCACACGTGCCGGGGAGCTGGGTCAGGAGGGCCTAGCCTGCGGCTGCAGCCAGGGGATGCAGGGGTGTAGACAGTGAGACCTTCCCGGCAGCCTATGAAAGGTGGCGGGGGGGGGGCCCTTCCCAGGGTGACGATACAATTTATCGTCCAAATCAGGAAGCATCTTAGTCAGAGCGGGTGCTGTTAGTGATCAACCCCAAACCCAGCTGTAAATCAGGCCTGTCCTGGGAAAACTGGGATGCACGGTCACCCTACCTTCACCCTGCATGTGACACGGGGCCTGAACTGAGCTCGCTGGGAGTGGTTTGTAGGTGAGGAAGGGTGCAAGAGCTGAAAGCCTCTGCAAACTATTAAACAATTGGTTGAAAACAAGGAATTGGAGAAATTTTAATGCACGAGAAACAACAGCAGGGCACCCCTCCCCTTCTGCCTGGGAATGCGCATATCCTGTGTCCCGAGGACTGGGGGATGCCTGGCTTTCAGGTCCCCTCCCTACGGGCAGCACACCTATTCCACGTGTGACATTCAACTGCTGTTCCGGCTTCCAGGGGCCGCTGGCCTCCGACCTGGCTCTGTGTCCTTCGTGGGGTCCTGTCTCCCGACTCACGCCTGCAGGGCTGGCCGACTCAGCAGGTCAGCCCTGGGTGGAGTGGACCGCTCCCTGCTCCCTCCCGACCAGCATCTGCTCCCGGGGGGCTCCCTGGAGGGTCTCCCTTCTCCCTCAACGGGAGGACTGAGCCCCCAGGCCGTCTAGGCAGCAGGACGCCCCTCGCCCCTCGGCGTGGCCCCGCGGGATTCGGAGCCCCCTCCCGAGTCCCGTTGGGACTCAGCGGTGCCCCCGCCTCACAGCTGGTCCTCGTCCACCCAGACGGTCTTGCGCTGCTCGTCCCCGATCTTGTCTTTAATGACGCGGAGCAGCTCCTCCACGCTGCCCCACATGTCCGCCTCCACGCTGGCGTAGAGACACGGGAGGGCCTCCAGCTCTTTCTCCTTCAGCCGGCACAGGCGCAGAAACTCCTCCTCCGTCTCCGGCCGGGACAGCATCTTCCTGCGGGCGAGGAAGGGCGAGGGAGACGCACAGGGGCGTGGCTTGGCTGGGCGGACCCGTGCTGTGGGACCACCCCTTGCTGCCGCGCCCCCCCCACCCGGGCACCCTACCCTACCGACGCTGCCTTCCCCGCTTTGTTTCTCCATAGCCTCTACCACTTAGCACCTTACGCACTGTCCCCTTTTATTCTGTTCCTTAGGGAATCCTAACAGGTGGGGACTTTTAAAGTCTTTTTAATTGTGATAAAGTACACGTAAAATAAAATTTCCCATCCTGACCACTTGTAAGTGTACATTTCAGCAGTGGTAAGTTATTCGCAGCGAAGTGCATCCATCTCCATAACTTTCTCGTCTTGCAAAACTGAAACTCGACCCATTAAACGATCACTTCCCCCTGCCTCTCAACCCCTGGCACCCACCCCTCTACTGTCTGTCTCTGTGCATCTGACCACCCCCAGGGACCTCGTAGAAGTGGAAGTGCACAGTGTCTGTCCTTCTGTGTCTGGCTTGTTTCACTGAGCATCATGTCCTCAAGGTCCGGCCATGTTTCACCATGCGTCAGTCTCCTTCCTTTTTAAGGCAGAATCTCATTCTCTCGTAGGGATGGACCACATTTTGTTTATCCATTTATCTGTCAGCGGACACTTGGGTTGCTTCTACCTTTCGGCTACCGTGAATGATGCCGCTGTGAACGTGGCTGTGCAAATACCTCCTGAAGACCCTGCTTTGAATTCTTTTGAGTAGAGACTGAGAAGTGTGATTTCCGGATCACACGGTAGTTCTACTTTAATTTTCGAGGAAACTCCTTACAGTTTTCCGCGGCAGCTGCACCCTTTTACGTTCCCAACCAGCAGTGCGCAAGGGCTCCAATTTCTCCCCATCTGGGCCAACAGGTGTGAGTTTATGCGTTTTGGACAGCAGCCGTCCTAACGTGTGGGAGGTGGTGAGGTGGGGACTCTGCGCTCCTTTGCTCACTCATGGGGTCCCGGGGCCCGGCACTCAATAGGCACTCGGTAAATATTTGCGGAGAGAATGGAGTGGCCTGACCTCTCTCAGTGTCAGCTGCAGTTGTGTTGCAAGGAAGGGTGGGGATCAGAGATGGTGCCACGTGACAGGCAGGCCACGCCCCTCCCCCACCTCAGCATCACCCTGATTTCCTCTTCCTAGCAAATCTTACCGCTAACCCTTCAACAATCACACAGGCCCGACTTTGAACACGGACCCTGAAAAGGCCTTTCCTCATCGCCCGCCAGACAGGATGTGGTCCCAGCATCACTACCCCTCGTGTGGGTTGTCACGATGCCTGTGTCTCAACGCAGCAGCCAGCGGGGCCTTTACATCCCTTATTAGATTAAGTCACTCCTCAAAACCGTCAGTAGCTCCCGTCTCACTCAGAAGGAGACGTCACGTCTTTCCGTGGCCGACACGGCCCGGTGTGGTCTGGACCCCCTTCGGCCCCAGTCACCTCTCACCGCTCTGCCCAACACACTGGCCTCCTCTGGGCCATCCCCGCCTCGGGGTCTGGGCGCCAGCTGTGCCCTCTGCACCTGCCCGGCCTGGCCTCGCCGTGGTGGGTCCTGCTCCAATGCTGGCTTCCCGGACCACCTGGGTCCCAGGGCGCCCCCATCCCTCCCGGCACCCATCCTCCTGGACGCGTTTTGCGCGCGCGCGCGCGTGTGTGTGTGTGTGCGTGTGTTACTGTTTCCATTGCTGGAGGGGTCAGGGCCATGTCCCCCGGTCCGGGGACTGACCTTCGATAAGGGTTCACTAAAGGGATGCTCGGGGGAGGGGGTGGGCCCAACACAGCCAGCTGTTCTTGGCGGGAGCCCCAGGGGCTTGGTGAGGTCGGGGAGTGCAGGGGTGCTTTAGGGCCCCTGCGGGGGGTCCCGGAGCCCTACCTGAACTTCTTGATGTTCTTCTCCGACACCCGGATGAAGAGCACGATGGGGTAGATGCGGGACTTGATCAGGTCCCTGGTGCAGCTGATCCCGGCCTCCAGCAGGCAGTGCTTGTTCTGCAGACACAGTGGCCGGCGGTCAGCGGGGGCCCATTGCCTCCTCGGCCTGTGTGGGTGCCTGGGGCGGGTCCACCGGGCAGGGTCTGGCTCCACGGGACAGAGCCAGGGGCGAGACAGCCCCGCGTGCCCCCCCGCTGAACCAGAGAACGAGCCAGGCAGAACCCAACCTCTGAGAGACAAGGCCCCCCGTCCGGAGACCTGGCTCTCCCTGCACAGGGATGGGTGCCGGGGTGAATCAGGCAGTGTGCGTGAGTCTTAATAAAAACCCAAGTCAGTGTGGAGAACACCTGCTCCTCTATTCTGCCTGCGGAGGCGCTCTGGGTACTAGGACGGGGTGGGTGGAAAACACAGGGAAGGTGAGGCGGCTGGATGGTCCGGGGAGGATGTAAGGGCTCTCAAGCACGACTCCCTGGGGCCTGAGAACGCGTCGTTTCTGAAGAAGGACGATCCCTGTTTTGCTGAAGGTGCCACCTAAACCTCTGCACTGAGACAGAACTTGAATATAGCAAAGTGCACGTGCTCCTAAGCCTGCAGCTCAGTGGATTTTCACAAAGTGAACGTGCCGGTGGAACCAGCACCCAGGTCCAGTGGCAGAGATGGCCAGCCCCAGGCCCCTGTGCCCCCGGCCACCGCTCCTGTCTCGCCAGCAGAGCCGCTGCTCGATTTCTAACAGCACGGATTCCTGGATGGGAACCCCTTCGCAGCCAGAATGTTCTCAGCTCCAGCCCTGCCCACTCACTGTCCATCGGCTCCAGCTGTCACGATTCCCTAAGCTTTAATACCCAGCAAACGCTTCAAGGCGGGCCGACAGCTCTGCCCGTGCTTCGATCCGTGTGACGATGCGAGAGGGGGCGGGAGTGACCATCGGCTGGGCGGCAAGTTCGGAATCTCCGGCTGGACTCCTGCTCTTGCCGTCCCCCAGGTCACCGTCCCACACTCCGGGGCCGTGGTCATCCTCGTGGGCTGAGAACCCCGCCTTCATCCAGCCCTGGAGCGAGGAAGAACTCCACGCTCAGGGCTGGCCAGGGTCTCAAAGCCTGGCTCCAGCAGACTCCAGACCGCGTGCAAACGCCTTTTCTGCGTCACTGCCAAGAAGCCTTCTGATGGTCCACTTCCCCCACTTGGCGACCACGGTGCCTGTCGCCCTCTTGCTCGCTACCTCTGGCCCCTGTTATCACCGCCAGGCGCACACACATCCCTGAACGACGCAGACCAGAGGACCACCACCAGGAAGCCCTCAGAAACAGAGGAGGTTCCCCCAACCCCGCAGGACAGGGCTTGGAGACGTTAGCACGTGGTAGAGGGAGAGAGGAAGAAGGTTCACCCGCGGCGAGGTGAGAGCATCGCCCTCTCCATGGCGCAGGTGGCTCACAAGCCCTGTCAGCCTCCAGCCGGCCTCACCTTGGCCGCCACAGCCTCGATGTGGGCGGGCACGACACATTCAAAGGAGTTGGGGTTCTTCTCTCGGGAGTAGATGATGGTCTCTGTCTTCTGCTTTCTGAGGAACTCGTCTCTCGTGACAACATCTGTGGGGAGAGGGGCCAGTCCTGAGGGCGGCACAGGTGGTCTCGGGCCGACTGTCCCGTCCAGGCCCCGCCCTGCTTCCTGGGCTCGACAGCGCTGCACGTCTGATCCCTCTCTGGCCACATGGAAGTGAATCTCGTCTCCTCCACTAGACCCCGAGGCTTCTCAATTGAGGGCAAGGTCAGGGTCCCACTTTACAGGCCCCACGGCAGCCAGCCATCCACACCCTTCCGTCGGCTCTGGAGGCCCTGATGCAGGCGGCGGGGGAGGGGAAAGGAGGGCAGCCTGCAGCGGGGGGCTCACCCGGCTTGCACATGGTGAACTCCATCGCGCCCCCCGAGTTGAGCAGCTTCTGGACCAGCGCCTTAGCCAGCATGGTGGGCGTGAAGAGGACGGGCCGGCGGCGCTCGCAGTAGAAGGCGCGCACCAGGCTATAGGGGATCAGGCTGAGGTTCTTGCCGAGCTCGCTCTCGGGGTCCAGCTCTGGGAGGGGACAGGGAAGGGCTGGTACTGCCTGGGGCAGGGGCAGCCCAGGTGCCCTCTTGGCTCCATGGAGCCTTGAAAACCATTTGGGAGCGGGGATGGGACACCCGGGGCTAGTTCTCAAGACCCGCCGCACAAATCGACACAAGCCGGCGGCCCAGGACGCCCTTCCGCCATCCAGGCAAGTTTACGGAGTGACCTGTGGACCGGGCTCTGTTCTGGGAGCTGGGCCAACAGTGCTGGGCCAGGGAGACGGCCCTGCTCACAGGCCGGGAGGCGCCGGCAAGAAGCGCGTAACACACTCCAGGGGCTGAGCTGTCCAGGGAGGGCCTGGGCTGAGGCTGGAGTGGAGAGGCGCCCCTGGCCCTCGTTACCATCAGCGCCGGGGCCAGCGTGGCCCTGGGAGGGCTTGCTCGCCGCCGGCAGGGCCTTCCACAGGGGACTGCGCACCGGGAGGCCCCTCGCTGGCTTCACGATAAATGGCGGTCGGTGCTCAGCGGGGAGAGAATCAATAGGTAAACGCTTCAGAGCAAACAGCTCCAAATAACACGGGCGTCTGGGCTCAAACCAAGTACGGCGGGCGTCGGTCGGGGGAACTTGGCAGGATGCGCCCGGGTGGCTGTCGGTCCTCCTGGCCAGGGCCGGGCAGCTCCTCCCCAGGCGCTACCCTTGCTTTGGAGGGAGGAGACGTCCCAGCCCCACCCTCGGGGGCCCCCGCGGCCCGCCCAGACCCCTGAGGCCGCCACGCGTGCATGGGGCGGGGAGGGGCTGGGTGGTTGGCACCACACCTTCCTGCTTCTCGGTCAGGAGCTTCGTGGCGTCCAGCGAGGACCGGGCCAGGCTCCCCCGCGGGCTCCCCGCAACGATGCGCACGCGCTCGTGGCTGTTCATTCGCTTGTACTTGTTCTCGGACCTGCTGACGAACTGCGGACAGAGGGGTGGGGGTGGAGGAAGGCGTAACCCGGGCTCTGGAGACCTCCATTCAGATCCGGGCTCTGCCCCGGGCGCCTGGGTCAGTCACGCCCCCTCTCAACACAGGGGACACCTAGCAGGCGGCGCAAGTTCTTTAGCTGTCTGGGCGCCGTCAGTAGACAAGGAAGCGAACAAACGTTCACACTCTCTTTCCCGGCTGGGCGTGAGCTGCCAGAGGGCTGGTCCCAAGCAGGCCCTCAACGGAGCCCCCCTGCAATCCCACCCACATCTAGGGGATCCACGGGCACTGTGAGGCCTGGAGCGCTCTGGCTGTGGAAGACCCCTGGCCGCCCCCAAAACGGCCCACCCGGCGGGGGGTGCAGGTGACTTCACCCCCTGCCTCGGCAACCCCGAGTCTTCCGGGGGAGTGCCTGCGCCCTTCTACCATGCAGAGTTGAGTCCTGGAGGGTGGAAGGGGATGCCCAGCGGTGGACACCATACTCCCTGGGCTACTTTGAGACTCTCCACGCCCTCCCTCTGCAGGGAGGAAAGTCCAGGGAGCTGGGATGTCAGCCCTGCTCTGTTGTTAACTGGCCTTCGAGTTAGTCACCCAAAAACTCAGGGTTTTGGACTCATGCGTGATGTGTGGGCACAAAAAAGTGTGGTCTCACGTGGTCCTGCCGTCAGGGGTGCCTCGGACTTCACCAGGGTTCCCTTCCACCTCCGTGTCTTTCTGCTACCTGTTTGCCTCTACCTGGGTTTTAGGGTCACACTGTGAACCATTTCTCTGGGTTTCCCATGTTCCAACATTAGGATGGAGCAGTGGAGTGACACACTAGCTCTGCTGGGGCCTAATTAGCACAGAGCCAACACGGGAACATCCTTGCGGGGCTACATCTTAATAGTACTCTCAGCTTTTGTGAACTGGTGATAGAGAAAAAGGCTGCATGGAATGCTTCTGCGTTTATGTGAAATCACTTCTGAACACATCACCCATGAGGCTGTTCAATGTTCCTCGTATAATGATCCGTGCCAAAAAGAAAAAGGAAAAAAACCTCTTAGAATCAAGTACAAGGGAAACATTTTTCCTGCTTCCAAAGAGCTAAAACGTTTTGGCACCAGGTAAGATATAAAGACTCTGCTGGGTTTCCCTTTCTTCCCTGGCTGCTAGGATGCTCAGAGATAAATTTAATGCTCAATCTGAGGACCTGGATATCTGGAATGTTTGTTTTCCTCTCCTCACTTTTCCACTAATATTTGAGCAACTAAGATGTTTAAGTTTCTTTTAGCCCTAAGTTTGCTCAAATCTTTTATGAAAGTGAGGTTTGCTTCCAACAGGTGCAGACTGTCTACCGACCTGTCACTGTGAGGATAAAATGGGACGGAAGATGTAAGGTGCCGTGAAAAGCTGCAAGTGGGGGACAAACACAGAGCACTGCTGTTCTGATACAGCCTCCTCTTCTCGGTAGGGAGAGGGCAGGGCTACGGCAAAACGTGGCTGCAGGTCAGCAGGCGCTCCGAGAGCTTTACCTGAAGGAGCTGGCCGAAAAGGAAACTCGCTCGTGAGAGGCGGGGGCTGACCCGGGGGTCCGCAGTGGGAAGTGGTTCTTCGGGCTGCAGGGTGTTCTGAAATCAGTTTATCAACCGGTCAGACCCGCCGGCATACTGATGCCGCTGAGAACGGGAGACGGCTCCCAGCCCCGCTCTGTGCTCGCGGGGATCCCGTCGTGGATCAAAGCACTCCCGACAAGGGAGCAAGCTCAGGGGGTGAGAGGGGCCTCGGGACTTGTTCCAACAACGACCGGAGCCGGCCGAGGGGAGCGTGCACCGCAGCTGGGGAGGGTGCAGAGGTGGGGCTCCTTCTGGAGGGGGCGGCCCTAAGGAGCCCGGTTCCCTGCAATCCACCATCCCACGGAGATGGATGGCTCCCACTCGGGATCCCCTCCAAAAAGGGCCCGGGAGGTGGTGTGAAGCCGGCGGGGTGCTGGGTGACCTACCCGGAGGGCCCTCAGGGTGTGGTGGGCCGTGTCCACCTCCTCCCGGCTGCCCCGGTGCAACAGGCGCTGCAGCTTGACCAGGAGGAGCTGCTGGGCTCTGGGGAGGTGAGAGGGGAGGGCGGAGCCTCAGGGGTTGGAGGGACCCCAGGGCCGAGCCTGGGGAAGCCGGCGGGGGCCTGGCCCGGGCAGGGGGCTCTACGCAGGGTGTGAGCTCTGAGCCCCAGGGGTACACCAGGGAGGGACTGGGCACTGAGCATCTGGGCTTGAATCCTGCCTCTGGCACTGACTCATCTTGGTACTGGGGCAAAGTCGCTTAACTTCTCTGAGCCTCGGTTTCCTCATCTGTAAATTGGGTCTACTGAGGCTGGCCTTGCAGGGCTGGCCTGGGCAGCAGAGTCAGAGTCTGTGGATGCTTTATGGATGTCCGGGGCGTCTAACCAGGGGCAGGCTGATGCTCAGCCCTCGGCGGCTACTGCTATATAATTACAGAACGACGTTGGGGAGATGGGCTACGGAAAAGATGACCATCGAACACAGGAAGCATAAACTCAGGCTCTATCTAAGCTGTCCAGTAATGATGGAAAGACGGCGCTCTGGGATTTAGTGAAGCAACGGGATTTAAGAGAGCAACATTCCTGGGGGGCTTCAAAGAGGAGGAGGGAATGGGGGGTGGTCGCTGGTCGGCAGGCAAAGGCTCTCCGCCGTGAGCCCCTCTGCCGAGCTGCACGGCCCCCTCGGTCTCACCGGCTGTAGCTGGGGATGGTGCCCATGTCCAGGTCGTGGTCCGTGAAGGGGTCGACCCGCGCACACAGCCACTCGTGCTTGTCCTGGTACATGGTGTCACGGACGTGCACGACGTCATCGCACTTCAGGGACATGGAGCAGGCGTCCAGCTGGCTGGAGATGTTCAGGTTGAGCCGGATGTAGAAGGAGTCCCCCGACGTGATCAGGCCCTCCTCCATGTCCTTCAGCAGCTTCCGGTACCCTGTGGAAGGAGAAGACGCAAAACCCATCCGTGAAGGGCCTCCCACTCCTGGGCTCCCCGCGGATGACACCCCTGTGATGCGGTCCTCCCATCACGGGGGCGTGGTTAGGGAAACGTCTGTCCTCCCCGATGAGCGAGCAGCTGAGTTACTGATGGCTTTCTCTCTTTGTCTTGGCTGCCAAGAAGCTCAGAGCGAAATTTTGTGCCAAGTTGCAGCAAATCTAGGACCTCTGCTGCGATCTCCACGTCCCTCCCTACCGATACACGGTGCTTGTGTTTTATCATTTTTGTCTTTGATTGATAGCTAACTTACATGCAGTAAACCCCATCACCCTTAAGCATTCCGCACGATGGATGTTCACAAATGTCTAGACCTGGGTAACCACCACTCAGATCCTTCCCTCATGCCCATGTCAGAACCCTGCAGGGGTAACCTCTGTGCTGACTGCCAGCAGCCCAGGTGAGCTCTGCCTCGCTTCATATACGTGGAAGCAGACGGTACGTGCTCTTCTGCCAGAATGTGTCTGGCATTCACTGCACGTCATGCCTGTGAGCTTCAACCGCGATGCTGCAACATAGCATCGTGTGTTCATTTTTTTTTTTTTTGGTGTGGACTGTTTTCAAAGTCCCCATTGAATATTGCCTCGTTTCACGTTTCCGCTCCTTGGCCACGAGGCATGTGGGATCCCAGCTCCCCAACCAGAGATCGAACCCACACCCCGCCACACTGGAAGGAGAAGTCCCAACCACCGGAAAGTCCGGTGTGTTCTTTTTCATTGCTGTAGAGTATTCCACGTGGTGCTGATTTATCCTTTCTCTGGTGTGCACATTTATCCCGTTTCCAGCTACTATGGATACCTCTGCTATGAACACTCTTACACCTTTGTGGACGTATGTACTCATTTCCCTTGGATGTATTCACAGAAGTGGAATTACTAGGTCACTGTGTATACATTCAGCTTTAGGAGATACCGCCAAATGGTTTTCCGAAGTGGTAGGACCACGGCACGTGTATCAACCTTAGTTAACACCATTGCCCTTTAGTGTGAAATTTTATGACTCCTTTTGGAAGGAAGCAGGGCATAAAACTATGAATACAATAAATGCAGCAACTTTCAGCAAACGTCCAAGACGTAAATCCATAACATAAATCCTGAAATCAGCCCCACATGCAGACAGCCATAACACGGTGGAAGCTAGAACAGTCCTCATCGCCAGGCCCAGAAATAGCTCCTCAAACGCTATGTCTCACAGGCCCCACACCTCACACGCCAGGGAGACTGGAGCCAGCAGGCCTGTCTGATCATGGAGAGACGGGATTCCCGGTTGGGCCCTTCCCACCCACCTGGGCCGGGTTAACACCAATCACCGTCTGAGGGCTCCACCACCCGGGAGGATGGGCCCTACAAACAGGATCCTGCCAGAGGGAACCCTTCTTCCACTGAATTCCAGACGCAGGGCTGCTGCTACACAAAGCCAGGGGGCTCTGCTCGTACTGGGTTCTGTGGCACCGGGGCTGGTGGGCAGGGCAGCGCCCGGAGACTTACTGCTGGGCTGGGATGCCGGCCTGGCAGAGGGGAGGAGCCCGCCTGCAGGAGGAGAAGGCTGGGCCCTGTGTCTGGGGACAGAGCATCATCACCTTCCACACTGACCGGGCACTGCCGGGAAGGCGCACGGACAAGCAGGCGGCAGTGGGGAGCCGCTAGGGAGAGAGCGGTTATTTGTGCTCTGCTGAAACATTCATGAGCCCCTGGTGGTTAAAAATAAGACCCAGCTGCAGAGATAATCATGCAAGAAAAAACCCAGAGGTGAGAACGAGAACTCAGAGTTAGGGAGAGGGAAGGCGCTGCTTAGGAGCCTGGGTCGAGAAAGAGGAGACACCCTGAAAAAGCTGCTGGGGGGCCAGATGAGAAGGGGCTGAGGCCCGGCTGTCCTGCAGCAGATGGCCTGGCCGCGGTGCGGCTCAGTGGGCCCGCGGGTGCAGGGGCGGTCACCCCAGACTCACTGCCTACGTCAGGGCCGGGAAGCCTGAGAGAGAAAAAACAAACCTCAGCCTCGCAGAGAGAGCGGGGAGCTGGCCAGGCAGTCTGCTCGCGGCTGGATGTGCTGCCTCCACCGTGAGTGGGGCAGAGGCCCGAGGCACGCCAGGGCAGGTGTGTGCCCACGTGTGTCAGCGCGCCTGCCCTTCCCGCCCCACACCTGCCCCCTCAGTCCTCCTGACGGGCAGATGAGCAAGGGGAGGGACCGCCCGCCCCGCCTGGGGTCTTCACCTTCCTGGTTGACCTTGTAGTGCAGTGTGACGGGCCCACTGCACCTCTGGACGGTCCAGTGCACCTCCTCCTTCGTGCACGTCTCCAAGGGGACGCTCTGCTTCTCGCCTTTGATGCAGCCTTCTAGCTAGATATCAAAGACACATTGTCCTGCTTGGGCTCCACGGCGAGGCGAGCGGAGCTGCGGGGGTGAGACTGCCCCGCCGGGGAACAAAAGCACCTCTCCTCAACAAAGACCAGCTCAGCGCTGCTGAGGGAAGAAAGCATCGCACTTAAATGGGGTTCACGTGCCTCCCGCCCACCGCCCGGAGCACGTGTGCGTGCGTGTGCATGTGCACAGGCTCTAGGAACACGAGTGAAGAGTCGTGGAGAGAAGGGCCCGGGGAGGGGCTTCCAGAGAGGAGCTGACAGGCCCGCGCCCTGGCAACCCCTCCTCCTGGCCGGGAATCCGCAGCTTAATGCAGGCTTGGGGGTGGGGGTCCCTGCGCTGTCAGCAGCAGATGTGCAGAGGAACCAGAACTGCTGCCTCCCCCAGCCCCCAGCCCCTCACCAGCAGCAACTGGTGGCCCTCACGGAGGCCGGCCTTCTCGGCCAGGGAGCCCGGCTTGACCGCGTGGACGAAGCTCCCGCGCGCGTTGCCCCCGAGCAGCGTGAGCTGGGAGATGAGGCTGTCGCCGCTCAGCGTGGTGTGCTGCACCGAGGGCCCGGGGCCCCGCACATGCCCCACGGACGTGACAGACGGCCGGAAGGGTCTGCGTCGGGAGATAAGACGGGGGTTAGGCAGCTGTAGCTAGGACTCCCGGCCGGGACACCCAGAGAGCGGGGCCTGGGCTGCAGCGTCCCCGGGGAGTCACAGCAGCGGCCACGTTAGGAGAGAGCTGGCGACCGGCTCCTGCTGTCACAGGCACACACCAGAAGCAGGGGCCCCGGGAGGCACTGCCACCGGGAGACGGAGGTCACACACGCCCTGGCTGCTTGCATCGGGTGCAAGGGCTGCTGGCCCCTCCTCGCACACCGGGAAGGCTGCGTGGGCACAGCCCACCGGGCTTCGGGGAGTCACGGGCGGGGCCCGGGGCCGGTCCGACACGAGAGTCCCGTTCCTTGCCTCTGCCGGGCTGTGTGGCCCTGGGCAGGCCCCTTCCTACATGGGCCTGGCTGGGGGTCCGGGGTAGTGATTTCTGACTTTGGGACACTATGATCCCCAGACTCTGATTCTAGAATACGGGTGCTGTGGACGATCCCCTTTGCAGGGGATCGAGGGGAGAGTAGCCTTCACCTCATCCCTGCCCCTCAGCCCAGCCTCCCCTCTCCCGTGACCTCGGTACCTTTCTAGAGAGAACTTCCTAAACATGAGGTTGACCTGCTCCAGGTCGTAGGCGTCCAGGCCCTCAGACTGGTGCGAGGAAGAGGAGGAATGGGTGGAGGGGGGTCCAAAGGGGAACCGCTCGTGGCTGTCATCTGCGAAGGCGTAACGGACGCTTCAGGCCCCCGAGCAGGAGGGAGGGCGGCCCGCGGCCTTCCTGACATGGCCGAGGTGGCTCCTCCCTTTCTGCCTCCTGGCAAATCCTCCCCCCTCCCCAGATGAGGGAGCAGCCTCAGTCAGTGGGTCCTGGAGGCCCTGGGGGGTATAGGGTCCAGTCCCGGTAACCTCTTCTTCACAGCCATTCCCCCGCCTCCAGGGGGCATCTGGAAAGGGGCCGCCATTAGCAGGCACTTGCTCTGCTTTGGAATCGGGGTCCAAATTTTCATCTGGGGACCTCAGGTCTAGCCACCATCTACCGGCCTGGGGCGGGTCTGGGGCGGGGCTGCAGGACCAGCGTGTGGACGGAGTAAGGAAGCCCCCTCTCCTCCCAACTCGGCGGAACCCCGAGCGCCCCAGGGAAACACGCCCACCCTGCACAGCTCAGGCTGCTGGGACGGGAGATCTGCAAGCCCTGCTCTGGGCTGATAACAAAGGCTTCTCTGCAGAGAGAATTTGTCCCGACACTGCAAAACGCTCTGGACGGCTGCCCAGAATTCTCTTTCCAGCTCTCCCCTTTCCAAACCCCTGGAGCTCTTCCCATCACCCAGCCTCGATTAGGTGCCGACCTCTCTTTAACACTTGAAAGCTGCTGCTGGTCACCAATTAAGGAGAGCCACTAATCTTTCATTTTATCTGCTGGCAGCCTGAGCTGGCGAGGGGTGGAGGCAGGCTGGTGGGAGCCCTGGAACCGAGGGGGCTGGCGGGCCACACCCGGAGGATTCTGAGCCCGGCTCCATGCTGCCAGCTCCTCGGGGCCCGAGGACGCTGCCACCATCCCAAGGCGCCGAGCCATCTCCCGAGAAGCCGGAACCCTACCTGTTCTTCTCCCTCCTGTCCATCCAGTCAGAAGCTCAGGTCTGGGGACTTCCCTGGTGGACCAGTGGGTAAGACCCTACTCTCCCAATGCAGGGGGCCCAGGTTTGATCCCTGGTCTGGGAACTACATCCCACATGCTGCAACTAAGAGTCTGCGTGCTGCAACTAAAAGATCCCGCATGCTGCAACTAAGGCCCAGCGCGGCCAAAATAAATACATGATAAAATAAATAAATAGGGGTTTCCCTGGTGGCGCAGCGGTTGAGAGTCCGCCTGCCGATGCAGGGGATGCGGGTTCGTGCCTCGGTCTGGGAAGATCCCACATTCCGCGGAGCGGCTGGGCCCGTGAGCCATGGCCGCTGAGCCTGCGCATCTGGAGCCTGTGCTCCGCAACGGGAGAGGCCACGACAGTGAGAGGCCCGCGTACCGCCAAAAAAAAAAAAGCAGCTCAGGTCTGCAAATCTGCATGGGTCTCCCCACTGGTCCTCAACTATGCCACCACAGTCTCTGCTACAGCAAGAACTCAGGGACACAGGTTCTGTGTCCCATGCAGCTGTAACAGGGCCTGGTGAGGTGCAGGAACTCAACGTGTGCTGGGCCTCGCGGCTGTAAGGGGTGGTGGCTGGCGGGTGCTGCGTGCATGCTTACTTCCTGGAGACGGAACCTTCGTTTCTGGCTCTGCGTGGCAACATGCTGGGCCGAGGGAATATCCCCTCCATCATACCAGCTCTGCCCGTGGGTCGGGTTCAGGGCTACCACAGCCCCTCCAGTCTCCCCAGTGCCTGCCTGCCCCACACCTACAGTTTCAGGGGATGAAAACCAACCTTAATTGCCGCCCCATCTCCATCCCAGGGCCCCAGCCCCATGCCTGCCACTCGTCCCGCCGAGGTTGGTTAACAGCTTAGTTAACGCCTGGCTTCTTAAGAGGTCCCCCTGCTTCCAGTCCCTCCTCCACCCCAGCGCTCCTTAGTCTCCCTAAGACTCTGTTTCTTCATCTGCAAAACAAGGACGACGACAGCATCCCTGAAAACAGCTGCTGAGAGTCACCGGACTGGATCACAGTGCTTGGCTGCAACCACGAGAGCTATGCTTTCTTGAAAACCCAGACCTAACTCTGATTCTGCATTCAGCATCGGGATGGCTCCTACCGTCTGCGGAACAAAGGACAGGCTCCTCAGGCGCCTCCCGGCCCGAGCCACTCAACGGGCGGAGGCCTGTCTTCCTTGTGCACAGACAGCCCTCTCGGAATCCACTCTGCACACGTTTCCTGAGGACCTACTGTGTGCCAGGCTTCGCCCCAGGCAGGCCCTGCTGGAAGGTCAGGATGGGGCCGACGTGGCTGCCACACCTGTAATGCCTCTCAGACCTGCTGGGTACCCACCGTCAAGATCTAAGGCATCGAAGCCACCGCTGTCATTGTCGTCTTCAACTGTGCTGCAAGACATAAGGGGGGACAGGAGAGCTCTCCTGACTGTGTGTGCAGGTGGGCAAGGGAGAGCGAGGCTTCCCGAACGTTCTGGCTGTCTGAGAGGCTGTGGTTCTGAGAGGGCAGGATGGGTGGGAGAGGAAGGTCGGCAGGTGGGTGGAGGGCTGTGGGCCATGGGAGGGCTGCACGAGGCTGGGTGCTTTGCTGGGAGGGCAGGGCGGCCCCAGAGCCTGCAGAGGCCGCATTAGCTGGTGTGAGGACGGACACGAAGAGCCGCTGAGCAGAGTCCCCGACAGCCCCACCTGCTACTTCCCACTCATTCCTCTCCCTGGATGCAGAGTGCCTAATAGCATTTATACTCGGACGGGCTGCATTGTGTGACGGGCCCAAACAGCTGAGCCTCCCTCAGACAGGACAGGACGGGAGTGAGGCACGTGTCCCAAGAGTTCTAAGCTGTTCCTGTGTGGTTCCTGTGATGCAGTAATGAGGCCCAAGCCAGGTGGCTGGCAGGACCCAAGATGGAGATCCAGCCCCGCCGGCCACTCCTTGGTCTGGCCCTTCTAGGAACCACCACCAACCTCTGACTCTGAATGTACGATGCTAAATATCTGGTGACTGGAAACATCTGGATGCCCAGGCATATCTCTACTGCGGTCTCCACAATGGGGACACTGATGGCCTCCACGAGGTGAGGAAAGGGGAGAGACAGTAGCAATGAGGGGGACATTCACAGGGTCTCTCACTCTTTGGCAGAAAAAGCCAAGCTCTGGAACCATGGGATGGAGAAAGCTGATTTCTCGGTAGCAGGGGGCAAAGCGATGTTGGTTTCATCATTTGCTAGCTAGCTGGGGGGCCCTGGGAAAGCCATGTCCCTTCTCTGAGCCTCAGCTTGCTCATCTGTAAAATGGGCACCATCCTGCCTATATTGCAAGCTTCCCTTAAGGACTGCCGAGTTAGTTAAGTGTCGAGCGGCGCAACAAGCACCAGGAAAATGTCCCGCCTCCTCCCTCCACCTGTCACCCACCTCCGATGAGGCGCATCTTCCTTACAGCGTCTGACGATGGAGTCGTTTCCTGGGGGCTCGGCCGTGATTGACATGATGCTGGAACGGCTTCGATGGGGCTGCTTCAAACACACACACAGATGTGTTACGGGGAGCTGCGCCTCCGCGGGCATAAATGTTATATACACACGGACTAAATTTAAATCAGATGCGTCCCCGCCTGCTACACAGGCAGTGTGCGCCCGCAAGCTGGTTCTCAGCGGCGACCTTGGCCGAAGAAGGCTCGTGCTCAGCCTGGGGCAGCCGAAGCCACCAAGCCTGGTGCACATCTGCTCGCCCCGGGAACAGGAAGCGGGGAGGCGGGTGGGAGCCCGAGAGACGGTCCTTGTTTGTGCCCAGCACAGGCGGGGTTCTCTGTCCCCAGAACTGCTCAGCCTTGGGCACCTGCTCTGGACGAGAGGAAGACCTTAGGGGCTGGCGGAGGCCCACGCAGACAGCTCGGCTGCTGGAGGGTGGCCCTTTGAGACGAGGCCCGCTGGCTCCTGGCAAGGGCTGCCTGAACTGAGTGCCTGGGATTTCCCCTCCCAGAGCTGGGCTCAGACTGGGGCCATTCCTTATCACGTCTCTCTCCTCCAGGGCCTGATGCTGGAGTAGCTGACCAGCTTCCCAGGGCTTCCCGTCGGGGTTAGAAATTCTAATCCCACGCCTCCTGCTGCCTGGCTAGGGGGAGTGACACCGCTCTGCCCAGATGGGCTGGAGGGAGGCGCGCGGGTGCCGGGCAGGCCTTGCTCTGCCTCTCCGGCCCCCGCCGGCTGCCCACCTCCAGCTGCCGGAGTCGCCAGGGGCTGAGAAGCGGCAGCAGGATCGTCAGCCGCCTGTGCAACTCGCCGCAGCCCTGCGGAGGCCCGTCTCTTCTGCCCACCGAGTGTTAAATTGGGAAAGGAGGCGGCAAGAAGGTGAAAATACATTGCGAAGCCAGGAGACATCAAGCAGGGCCTGGGCTGCAGCCCTGGGCGAGGAAAGCAAGCGGGCCGGGCCCGCGGGGCGGGCGAGGCCGGGGTGGGGGGCCCGGCCCGAGCTCCGAGCCGGAACGGGGAGCGGCGGTGAGGGCCCTGCTCACCATCTTGGAGAAGGAGGTGGTGATGGGCAGCGACCCGGAGGAGCTGGGGCTGGCGTCCGTGACGTCTTCTTCGTGTCCCCTCCCTGTCCTCGGCGAATCGGGCAGGAGGAGCAGACGGAAGGGGCGGGGGAGAACGGGGAGGGCAGGGTCAGTGAGAGCCCCTGGGGCACTGCGTCCCTGGGGCCGTCCTATGTGTGTGTGGGGGCGGCCTCCTCTCCCCTCCGCTTGAGGAAGAGCCGGGTCTTTTCACCACCACGTCCCTCCCCCCACACAGGCCCAGGGCGGCCTCGTCAAGGCTGGACGATGCCTTCTGTCTTGAGGGCCAAGGTGGGCATCCCGGCTGGCACTCCGTGTGGAACAGTGGGAACTGGGGCCGGAACGTCCCCACTAAACAGGCCGACTGGGGACTGGGGCCAATGGGCTGGGTGTGCTGCCTCCCGCGCAGCCCCTGGAGCCCCTGTGCTCCTTCGAGGCTGCCTGGGGGCTTCTGCACACTCCTTTCGGCCCTCGTCTTGCTGCAGGGGAGCGGTCAGCTTCCCCATCCACAGCCCCACGCGCTGGTATGTGTGCGTGCGTGTACATGCGTGTGCGTGTACGTGCACAGCCAGCTGCACACGTGCATCCCGGTCCGTGGCGCCCTCGAGGGGACGAACCACAGTTCCCTCCCTAGTCCAGCACCCCACGTCAGGCAGCCGGCAAGGCTCCGTCTCCGCTGCACCCCTTTCCCTCTCCTGGGCACAAACGCCCTCTCCACTTCTGCTGGCCCCAGGCCCTTTACACCTCCCTTCTGTACAAGGTCCCTAAAACACCTGGTCTGGCCACCAGGGAAGTGGCTCGGCCCCCACCTTAGGGCTCCCCTACCCCCGGTGTCCCCACCAGGCGCAGCCCAGATCTGGACCCCTGGATGCCCTGCTCTCCTCGGAGGGATGAAGCCCGTGAACTCGGGCCTGGCCGTCAACCTCTGCGGGCTCGTTCCTGGCGCCGTCCTGCTCTGACCCCAGGAGGCAGCACAGCTTTCTGTATCACACGCTTTCCAGGCTGCACATCCATGTCTCTGCTTCCTGCTCCATCCCGGGGGGCCCTTCCGGAGGCCGTGCCCAGCGGCCTCAATTCTCCCTTTTCTAGACCCCGTCTGCACGTGCCCTTCTTGACAGATCCTTCTCCAGCCTTCTTCCAACAGCTCTCTTGGGTGTCCAGGGCCACATTCCACCTCCTCACCGATGGCCCTGCCCGAGTACCTGGGCTCTGGAAGCATCTACATGGACCTGCCAGCACCTGGCACACAGGAGGTGCCCGGTTCACCCAGGCAAACCCTCGCTAGCCAGCTGTCGCTCCAGAGTGGCACTGAGGATGAGTCAGAGGAATTCTGGGAACAGTGTGTCTCGGAGAACCCGAGGTTGAGGGGTGAACTGGTGGCCTCCCATGCCGGGGACTGCCTGCCCGGAAGTCCGGGAGGGAGGCCAAGTATCGGGGCTCCGGACGGACCCACGGGGAGAGGACCTCAGATGTGACGTTTCCGTGGTCGGGGCTCCCGCCCTCTCCGATGACAGCAAACAGTAATCACCATCTGGACACCCTGCCGCCCCGGGGCCCCAGGGCCCCCGAGACCCCTCCCGGGTTAACCTTGCAGGATCGACGCCTACGATGGGAGAAACAGATGGACCGAGAGTCAGAGTGACAGACAGGAGAGGGATCCGGGCGTCTCACTAACCTTGAAAATCTGATGTTCGCTTCAGGCTGATGGGGGATTTGGCCCTCTGCAGCTGAAAGAGGGGAAGGGAAGCAAGGAGACAGAGGACACAAATCAAACAAGGCCTGAGACACACGTCACCGGCGCTAAGGCAAGAAAGAAACTGAGGCGAGCCCACGCCGCCCTCGTCACGTGGCCGCAGGAACCACAGAGGGCGCAGGATGCCCACGGATGCCCCACGGCCGTGGCTCCCCGGCCCAGCGCAGGCAGCCGCTGGTACAGACACGCTCGCCCCACGGGAGGCGCTGCCACGTGGCTCGGATGGTACAAGGGCTGAGAGTGGAGGTGGGGTGGTACTGTGACGCTGAGCAGAGCTGGCTACACGGCACGGGGGAGTTTTCAGGAACAGACGAGGCTTTGGGGCAGCTGCCCCGGCCACCCCGGCATTAGGTGCTGGCGGTTCCAGGCCGGCCTCCGAGGTGCTGCCCTAGGCCTTCCCGCTCCCTGTGTGCGAGGGCGGGGAGAGCAGAGGCCCCGCCAGGCCCTGCGTGTGAGGCCGTCTCATTCACTCAGTCACATTCATTCATTCCTCAGCTGATGGAGCGCGCTAGAGACAGAGCAAAGCAGATAGGATGAGTGCTGTAACTCCAGCTCCATCACAAGCCACTGACGTCGGTAAACACGCGATAGGCGCTCAATACCTATTCGTTGAATAAACAAATGAATTTGGAGATCGTGCTTATATCATTCTCTCTCCCCTCTCTTAACTTGTACTACATTCGTAGGAGATGAAAGAATTCGCCGGAACGAACAAGCGAGAAGCACAAAGCTGGCACGGTTTCCGTTCACAGGGTTGACGGTGGTCAAGTCGCATCAGGGGTCTGAGACCCGCCCCAGGAGCACGTGAGGCCCTGCTGCCTCCTCCCCCGCGTGCAGGGGGCCCCCACCCCCGGCCCAGGATGGCCCCCCCGGCTGCGTGCAAGCACCTGGATGCCCTTCAGGTTCATCCTGCGTTTGGGCGGGTGGTAGGGCAGGAAGTAGCGGCTGTCCTCTGGCGAATCCTCTGAGGTTGAAGAATCGTCAGCCTCCTGACCGTTGGTCCTGGGGCTGGTGTCCCCAAAGTTCTGAGAGATGATGGTCACTGGTAGGTTCCTGGGCAAACTCTGGAGACAAGGGGAGGCCGTGTCCGTGACGGAGCACGGAGGAGCTGCCGCCACGCGCAGGGACAAGCTCTAATGACGCCATCACTCCCTCGGGCACCCAAGCTTGAAGCTCCGGATGGCCTCTTCCTCTTTCCTGACCCCACGTCCACCCCGATGCCAAGACCTATCACGCTAGCTCCACTCTCCTCCTCACAACACCCCCGCCCCCATCTCCCTCCCGCCGGGGCCCTGGCGCAGACCCTCGCACTGTGCTCTCTACAGTAGTAGAGGAACTGCCTCCCAGATGGTGTTGGCCCCTTATCTGATACACCACCATCAGATCCACAATTTCAGGCCCTAGGCCTAAGCTACAAATATAAGAAATGCTGCTGAATGCCTGGATAATGATAACAACAGTGCCAGGTACTGTCCTAAGTAATTTATAGCCATTGTCTGAAGCTGAGGTGCAAGAATATTAAATAACTTCTGGTTGGTCCCCTCAAAGCCACGTAACACCCTCATGCTACGTTGCCTCCAAACCCAAAGCTTTTGGCCTTACTTCCCCGCACAAAATCCTTCACGTCCAAGAATAACTCACGACCAAGCTCCTTAGCCGACGGGCCCGCTCGGCTCCCTCCTGCTACCCGCTCCAGCCCACCTCCTGCCTGTCCCCGCCTCCCACTCCACGGATGACCGACCTGCCAAGCGCGGCCTGCCGGCGGCATGCCATGGGTGTCACACCTCCAGGCCTTTGCTCGTGGTGTCCCCGTGGGCTGGAATACAGCCCCATCTTTCCTCACCTAGCCAGGCGCTGTCACAGCTTTCGTTCATAAATTCAGCAGATGCTCCCCGAGGGTCCACCCTGTGCCTGGCCCTATGCTACACGTTGGACAAACAGAGGGGCCTACACGGAGCTTCCGCGTCACTACAAACTGTAGGAAACGTGCAAAAGTTGAGGGCATAACACAGAGGCTCCTGGTTTCCAACAGGAACCGGTGAAGGCCTAGCTGAGGAAGTTGACACTTCAGCCAACCCCAGAAGGGGGTCAGAACTTGGCCAGGTGAAGTCCGGGGACAGCATTCCAAATGGAGGTCCCGAGGCTGGCTTCTCCTGTAGGGAGTCTTTCCCGGAACCCTGAGAGAATGGAGGCCTCCACCCCTGGGCGCCTACAGCGCCCCTTCAATGCGTAATTTACAACACTTGCGTTGAAATGTCACGCTCCTGCATCTGCATCCAGCACTAGATCTGAGTCCTCTGGGCGAGCGGCTGGGAGGGTGGGTCCGATCCTGGTTTCCCTGGGTGACTGACTAGCGATGCCCTCGGGGAAGTTACTCAGCTGCTTGTGTCTGGATTCTACCCTTGGCCAAGGAAGACAGCGATCTTACTGTCCTGGCGGGCAGTCCTGCGGCACAGAGGGCACTTAGCACGGTACCTGCAGACACAGGCACCCAAGCCCGCAGCTACGAGAGTGATAGCATCATCTATCTGCCCGCATCATGGCATCGCTCACTTCGGGGCGCCTGGGGCCCTGCTGTGACACGTGCCTGAACTTCAGGTCGAGATAAATGACGGTTTCCTTACAGGCCCTACTGACTTTAATGGGAGCAGGGCGTCTTACACCCGATGACCGTCCAGAGGGGTTTAAGGAAACCCAGTGGCAGGCTGACGGCCGACAGAGGTCCCCTGAGGAGGAGCTGCGGTTCTAACGCGGGAGTGACTTGCCCGAGATCACCCGGCCAGCAAGCGGCCGGGCCAGGGTTTCGTCCTGCCTCTTCTAGCTTCAAAATGAGCGGCTTCTACTCATCACGACCCAGACACACGCGGTTCAGGGGCACGGCTGCTCTGGGTGCGGGAGGGAAGGGTGTGCTTCCTCGCGGGAGCGCACGTGCCCGGCCAGCCCCACCTGCTCGAGGCTGCCACTGTCCTTGGAGAGGCGCCGGAGTTTGCTCTCCAGGTTCACGATGCAGGCTTCCCGCCGGACCATCTCAATCCTCATCTCATCGTTCTTCTCCTCCAGCTCGCGGATCTGTTTCCTGTACTTGTCCTTTTCGATTAAGCACTGGGAGTACTGGGTCTGCGCCTCGTCCCGGGAATGGAAGGCCTGCCCGGAGGAGGAGAGGGACGAGGCCGATTGGCTCTTCGCCCCGACGCTCCCAAGTCACACCCAGACGCCCGCTCCCCAGCCCATGTGTCAGTCCCACGGCCTCTTGCCCTTTTCTGGACCCTGACCCTTGGGTGTTTCAGTCGATACCATCCTGAACAACACGTCACAGCCCCCGTCTGTCCAGCCTCGGCTGTGTCTCTTGGAGCCCACCCTCCGCCCTAGCGAGTGGCGCCATTATTATTATTCCCACTTCACAGACGAGGCCTCCAGGGAGTGGCAGCTCGCCTGCAGCCACGTGTCTGAAGAGTGACGGGGTCTGGACCTGGCCATCTTACTCTAAAGCCCAGGCCGCCAGGGTCCAGCTCAGGCCCCCATGCTATTCAAACGAACTGGGATAGAAGTCACTTTGGGAACGGAAGCAGGCAAGATGGATTCACGAGTGATTCCAGCGGAGTTAATGACACTGCCCTGGACAAAACCTCCTGCTGGACCCCACGGCCCGGAGCCCGCAGGCCTGCCGCGCAGCCGCCCCGGGCAGCCCGTACCTGGTCGCGCTCCCGCTCTACCTCCTCCAGCTGCAGCATGAGGGTGTTCATGCGGTGCTTGTACATCTCGCAGTCCTTCCCCAGGGTCGAGCACTTCAGCTGCAGGTCCTCTTTCTCCTCCAGGTACTGCGAGCACAGGGGGAGATCAACACACGCGTCAAGCGGTCATCTATCGGGGCCGAGAGCCATTTTCTGGCTGCATCTTCCCAGAGCCGGCCTGCCCCTCCTCACAGGGCCTGACCTTGTAAGAGTCAGCTCTCTGACCAGAAGGGACCAAGGTAAAAGGCCAGTCCACCAACGGAGATTTGCTGTGGACCTACTACGTGCCAGGGAATGAGCGGGAGACAGGGTGGACGCCACGTGTGCCCTCCCGTGGCCTTCAGCCGGGGGGAGGACAGGTGTCGTGCTGACGCTTAGTACTTCACGAGCAGCTGCAGGTGCTGACGCACAGGGAATTTACACCAGGGGCCAGACCTGGTCCCTGGAAGAGAGTGTGGGCTCTGGAGGTTCCACTAACACACATCCGTGCACAGGGGCTCCCGGCCCGAGGGTGTCAGCTGGGTGGGTGCTGCCCCGACTGCCCATGGGGCCCACCTTATCCCTCAGCTCCTCCGCCTGGCGGACCTCCTCCTGCAGGTTGTAGATCTTGTTGACGAGCTCCTGTCGGTCCTCCAGGGCCTCCTTGCGGTCATGCTCCAGGATGTCCAGGATGGCCTTGTCCGAGTCTGGCAGGCTGCGCTTCCCGGCCTGGGAGGGCGGGGAGTGCGGAAGTGGGGGAACGTTTAACGGTGCTGGGGGCAGGGGGAGGGCAGGGAGCGTGGGGCCCGGGAAGGCGGCAGACGAAAGTGCCGGCGACACACTGAGCGAGCAGAAGGTTTTGTGCCAGGGAAGCAGAGAGAGGCAAGGGTCTCTGTCTCTCGGGGTCCCTAAGCAGCTTATTATTTACGAATTTTATCACCTGGAAAGAAGCATGAAACCCACTTCTGCGCAGAAACATCCCGATGCCTGTTGTTCTGCCCCGGCTCTTATCAGAGCTCAGAGGAGCACTTGCTGCTTCTCCACACACTTCACAGGTGACAACAAAGAGAGGGTTGATCTGCCTTCCAGATGCCTCCCCTGAAATACCAACTAATCTCTCCGACTAAACCGGGACGCATCCTCTGCTCTGAACGAGAGCCTTCCGCGCCAGGCAGCCAGTCCTGGGGGGCGGGGGGAATCATTCCGGAGGAAGGGGTGGGTGCCTTTTTTCTTTCCCTGCGTACGTATTTTGGGCTATTATTCCTCCGTACCTACAGATGATTCTGTAATGGCAAAGGTGGGGGGAGGCGCCTGAAGTTTTAACAAATCACACAGAGCTGAGAGTTGAGTTTCTTGGAATCTTTAAGGCAAGAAGATTTCTCGGATGTACTTTTCTCACAGCACCCAGGGCAGTGATTTTGTGTGAATGGTGATTTTCACAGAGCGATTCAGCCAAGGGAACATCGCCACAAGTTTTATCTCACATAATGTCGTGCCTCTGAGAAGTGGGTGGTGTGGTCACCCCCGCTGACAGAGGAGGGACTAAGGTGCCCAAGGACGACACGAATTCTCTGTGGTCCTGCGGTCAGCAGGTGGCGGCTTTGGGACTCACACCCAGGCGGGCATGTCCGTCCCCGACCCTCATCCTCCCTTGCGCCCACTGTGCCCGCACTGGCCCTCACCTGGATGATGGACTGCAGCTCCTGGATTTTGGTCTTCAGCATCTCATTCTCCCGCTCCAGCTCCAGAACTTGCTCCTTCTTGGGCCGGTTCTCGATGTCGTTCTTTAGTTTCAGCGACTGATTCCTCTCCAGCTTGCATTCCTCCTCCATCTTATTCAATCGATGCTTGAGCTGGTCGATCTGAAACACCCACAGGGTGCCGAGGGGAGAACGCAGTTGGCAGGAGACATTCAGAAAAGGCAGTGCCTCCCAGATCCTACTGGACTTCCAGCATGAGCTGTGCTCTGCCCCCCTCTCTCCTTCCTCCAGTTGGTGACAGAGAAGGCCTCAAAGAAACCTCTTCCAGTGAAACAAACCACCCCCTCCTTGTTGAGGAAGAGGCCCCTGATCCATTAATTTAGAACAGTTCTAAAGCAGTTACGTCCCCTGGAAGAATCCCTCAGGCAACTTTTGTGGAGTGGAACAGATTACAGACTAGGATAAAAGGTGCCCAACCTGGTGTTTCCCCGAGGTATGTTATCCATTTTAAAGGTCTTTTAGGATGGGTTCCAAACTCTGATCCTCAGAAGTCAAGATTCCCTCAAGAACCCTCGTGTTATCGCAGGGAGCAAAGAGATGGGGAGGGGGGGGATCGGGCCCCACCCTGACTTCACACCCCACAGTAGTTCTGCACATGCACATGTTTTGGCCTCTTGTGTTTCACACAAGATTTTAGTTGAACAAATGGCATTGCTGCCACTGACAGGATCTCTGGCCTAAAGGACCTGCCCAGACCTAGTGTGTAAGAAAGAGTGGCTTCCTGGAGGAGGAGGCAGTTACTACCCCTGGAAATGGGACAACTTCTCCAGCTGTGCTGAGCTTCACCCAGGAGGCGAGTGTGAGGAACTGAGGCCAGGAGGAAGCTTCTTAAACCTCTGTGACTTAGCCTGGCTGCTTCCCCAAACTGATCAGCCTTGGCAAAACACCTAGAAGAGGAAGGTTGTTTTCAAGGTCTGCAAGGAAGAGGGTACCAAATGGGTGAGTGTCCTTTTTCAATTCTAGGCTTATGGGGGGAACATCTCAAGAAATCTGGCAGGTAGAGGGTGGTGGCTTCAGCAAGGAAGGGACCTCGGCTGTGCGCCCGTGGCCTGAGGGAAGGAACAGAGAGGAATGCAGGGAAGCAGCCTGGGCCTGAGAAATGGCCTAGCACTCAGCTGGCCAGATGTTCTTTTAAGTGCTAGATATGGTTTCTCACTGTTACTATATGGCCAGAAAAACATAAAACAGGAGAAAGTTCTAGGAGAGAAAGTTTTACACCTCCGCCATAGGTTAACACCTCCAAACCCTAGATGAGACAGCACAGGAACCTTGCTTCCTGGTCACACACTCTCACACACGTGCACACACACACACACACACACACACACACACTCCTCCTCAGAGTCTTGGAAGATGAACCCAAGTGACCTGTTCTGGGTCCAGATCCCCAGTCCCATCCAAGTGGACACAAAGTGGGTGCTTACTAGGTCAGCCATCTTGCCAAAGACATATTTCAGCACCTCAGCAATCCTAGGGCGTAGGTATCATTTTCATTTCCACGTAACTGGCATTTACGAATGAGGAAACTGAAGCCAAGAACCAACTAAGTGGTAAAGCCAGAAGAAGTCAGATTTGAAGTCAAATCCAAAGGATTTCAAAGCTCTTGCTTTTTGCGTGCTATGCCACTGACTCAATCCACCTGAATTCTAGTGGATTGTTTACTGATCTGTCTGGTTCAACTAAATTGTAAGTGACCTGAGCACAAATCAGGTTATTTATGCCTATGTCCCCCACAGTGCTTAGCACCGTGCCTCACACATGGCAGGTGCTTAATAAATACTCTGAGGGTCTATTTTCCACCCAGCAGCCAGAGTGATCTTTCTAGATATAAATCAGTTGTCACTCGCAGCTCTCAATCCCTCAGTGGCTTCCATCACTATTGGAATAAATTCCAAAGTTCTTACCAAGCCCCCAGGATCTGGACCCTGGCCGTCTCCCATTTGCTCATTCGGCTCCAGCCCCACTGGCTCTCCTGCTGTTTCTCAAAAACACCAAGCATGGCCGCTACCTGGAGCCTTTGCACTTGCTCTTCCCCTGAGACTTGCAGGGCTGGCTCCTCCCTTTCCTCAGATCTCTGCTCCTGTGTCTCCTTCTCAGGAACGCTTCCTGACCATCCTATTTAAAACAGCACCTCTCACTCACTATCCCTAAACTCTTTTCTCCCTCTTCTTAATAGCACTTATTACTACCAGCGATTGATGCATTTCTTTTCTGATTAGAATGTGAGCTCCATGACAGCAAGGCTTAGGTTTTGAGTTATGTATCCCTGGAAAAGAGGCTGGTGCAAGGCGGTGCACAATGAAAGGAATGAGTGAGTTAAGCAATTCCCTTCTCCATCTCCGTTTTGGAAGTAAACTCATTAATGACATCTATCATTTGGCTGCTGGATTGTTCACTGATAAGTGACTATTCCACTGTGTCATGCTGCGCTTTGTGGATACAGCTGTGAAGGGCAGAATCCTGGCCTCAAGGATCTCATGAATCCACGGGACAGGTGCTGTGCCCATCTCCTCGCTAATTTTCCCGAGGGCCATAGAGCTGGGCAGGCCCCTGAATCCTCCATCTTCCCCCTCACCCAGCACGGGTGCAGGGCCCATGAGCTGGGCCCATGTACGCATCTCTGGTTCACGTGCCTAGCGGGTCCTCGCTCCGGAGCAAGTGGGAAGCTCCACCGGGTCCGGGTGCGCAAGTCCGCACATGCGCACAGTGGCCCGGAGGGCTCCTGAGCAGGATGTCAAGCTCACTGGGTCTGTGCGCATGTGCACACATGCGCAGTGGATCTGGGCGCTAAACTGCGGCGCCGAGCCTCGCTGGGTTGGCGCGCGCATGCGCACAGTCCATCTAGGCTGCCGGAACTCCCGCGTCTTCCTTTCTCCCTCACCTGGCCAGGTGTTAAACCCTGCCCCTGCCTGCCTGGTGGTCTTTGCCCCGGTGGCCTTCGCTTCCCGCTCACTCACTTTGGCCCAGCAGCTCCCGCCACGTGCCCCTCACCTCGAGCTGGAGGTCCCGGCTCCGCATGACCGCCATGTTTTTCTCTTCGCTGAGCTGGGCGTAGCGCATGGCCAGGTTGTAGTTGTCATCCTTCACCTTGACCAGCTCGTCGTTGTAGCTGTCCCGCTCCTCCTTCATCTTGTAGTACCGGTCCCGGAAGGTCAGCAGCTCCACCTGTGTCAGCGTCAGCTGCTTCCTGTCGTCCTCCAGCTGTCGTGACTTGGCCAGCAGCTCACACCGCTGCAGGTCCTTGGCCTTCATCTGTTGCTGCAGCTTGATGACCTCGTTCATCAGGAAGTGCGTGAGGCCCTCGTGGCCCTCCTCCACTGTGGAGAGGGGGGCACCCAGTCAGGCCTGAGGACTGCGGAGGGGAAGAAGGGGGTTCCAGACGTGGGGCAGGTGTCATTCGTTCACTCATTCACTCACCAACATTTTACTGGGCTCTTACTACCCATCAGGCACCGGGGATTCAGGGTGCGCAAGACAGCCTTGGTCCCGGTAGAGCTTATGTCTGGCAAGGGAGACAGACATCAAAAAAGCAAGTGATCACACGCAAATATAGCTACAGATTGAGAGGACTGCACAAAGTAAAGGTATAGGGGACTGTGAGAGTGCGTAATGGGGTGGGGGGGGGACCAGATCCAGCTGAGTGGACAGAGGCATTAGAGGAGGCTCCTGACGGATGAGCTCAAGTACTGAGGAGAGAAGACACATTCTAGGAAGGTGGAACAGCATTGCCAAGGTCCTATGGGAAGGGAAGAGGAACCTGGCACATTTCAGACACTGAAGGAAGACCAAAGTGGCTGGAGCTTAGAGAGAGGGAGAGGCAGAAAGGTGAGGCTGGGAGTATCATCAGGGGCTGGACCATGTAGGGTCCTTGTGGGCTGCACTGGGGTCTTTAGATGGCAACAATGGAAAGCCACTGAAAGGTTTTAAGTAGGGGAGGGTGACATGAGGAGTAGAGAACTCATTGGATCAGAGCAGGAATGGATATAAAGAGCTGATAGGGTTGTATGGGTCTTGACTAGGATAGTGGTGTATATGGAGAAAAGACTGATTTAAGAATATTTAGGAAGGAAAATTAAGATGACAAGATGACCACGGGCTCTGGTTCATGGGATACTGGCAGGAGGGGAGGCAAAGGAAAGGACAAGATGAAGAGGGTAGGGGGAGTTCCACCCCCCCAACACTCATGGCGGATGTTCAGTAAACACCCACTTCTCTTGATTCAGTTTGTTCCTCTGTGACCTACATTTCATCATCAGGCAGAAGTAAGTGGTTGACAGTTCCTAAGTGCCACTGGGGCACTGTCCTGACGTCACAGATCCATAACCTTAGAGCTGTCCCACCACTGGACACACACACACACACACACACACACACACATACACCCCTCCCATCACAGTCCGAATGCTGATGGTAAAGCCACTTACCCACAATGGTGGAGAATCTACGAGTGGGTTCCTTTCCGGTCACCAGTTTGTACAATTCTGGGTAGTAAAATTCCAGACTCTCCAAGAAGGCCACGTAGCCCCTTTGCCCCTTCGTATGGAGAATGTCCAGCAGTCGGCCTAGAGGAAAGGCCAAATCACTCGGTGGTCAGAAGCGTCCATGTCTCCGAATCCAGTCTTACGCTGGGCTCACATCCAGACAGTACACTCTTAAGAAGAGAGTCTCACCACATCCTGTCACTCCTGAGTTATATCTTACAGTCCGGCTAATGTAAATCGAAGTGCCAGGCTCTCGGCAGGGATTGTGAGTGTTAGTTTCCTTTCTCCCAAAGACTGGTGGAACCAGAAGCAGCCATAGGAAACCAACAGTCTTAAAGAGCTTCCCAACTGACCAGGGCTAAAATTAACCACACAGGCGTCTGTGATTGAAGGAGGATGGATGTACAGCAGTGGTTACGGAATAATATATGGTTCTCTGGGATTCAGACCAGGAAGATAAGTATTTGGGTGGGGAGCTAGGAAAAGTCCTAGGAAGCGGGAATAGCTCCATGTTCTTCAGTGGGATTATCACATAGTCTGGGAACGTTTTTCAGCTGTTTCTTCCCTTGAGGTCCTAAAACTCAATCCTTCCCCTAGGGTAGACATAATAAATAAATTTCATCTTGTGTCACCTGACTGTTTGTCACAGCGGCCCGGATTCTAAAGTTACATCCAGGCTCAGGAGGAAAACATGCTGGGATTAGTGATGTTTGTCAGGTATGCAAAGGAGAGTCATAGCATATGAGCTACTTATCACCAGTCATACTGTGGGCAAGTGAGTTTCAAACCTCTTAAACTGTGAACCACAGAAAGAGATGTATTTTACATTGTGACCGCATGCTTACACACAAAGACATATTTTGCTACAAACATATATGTGAATACACACACAGATGTATATAAAACCAAAACAGTGTTCACAAACCACACTTACTACCTACCTTTAATGAATGTGATAAAGTGTCATGGGCCCCTAGGCAGTCTGGAAAAGCCTATGGACCCTTTACCAGAATAACATTTTCAAACAGATAAAGTGCATTGGATTACAAAGGGAATCAATCGTAATAAGATACATGAACAAATATTAAATTTGCGACTCAGTAAATAAATGTGCTTCTTTATTAATGCATCAAATAAGCCAATCTCTTGGCAGGTCTAATAACTACTATAATTTCGAGGGAAAGATGAGTATAAATGATATTTTGGAAATCTGTAATAGCTGTAATGTGATAAGAAGATATCTGTAATGTTTACTGTTGACAAAGACACAAGTATTGCTAATCATTGTGATTTGTCGCCTACCTGCATCCATAATTGAAGGGAATGCTAAGTCTTAGGTTGGTAAAATAAAGATGTAATTTCCCCCTGGCCAAGTTAATAGACCCTCTCTACCCATGGACAGTTTGGTGGGGGACCAGGGGTGGGGAGAGGTCTACGGACTCTAGTCAAACATCCCTGACTGAGAGAAATGTCATTTTGCTACAGCTAACCGTAAGCTATCTCCTGAGGTTACCTGCCCGGTTGATCTTGGACGGCAGCATGGGAGCATTAAGCACTTCATCTTCATCTTGTTCATCAATGACCTTGCACTGGCGCAGGTAGGGGGTGAGCTTGGCTGGGTTGATGTAGCGACTCAGCATGTGCCGGTTGCACTCCACGTTCTCCCACAGGGCATCCTCCTCATCCTTCAGTGTCTGCATATAGTCATCCATCTCTGGCGCCCCTCCTTTTAGACATAAACCCCAACAAGGTTAATAGAACAGCCTCACTGGACTAGCTCTATGAGCTTTGGAGAGATCTCCAGCATCCACTGTTAAGTGAAAAAACAGTAGAGAAAAGCATATATATTCTACCTTTTATTTGAGAAAGGAAGGGATAGGAATAGACATATATTTCTTTATGTACTAAACACAAACAATGGATGGATAAGCCATAAAATTAAAACACAAATTATAGGGAGAGAGGGAGAATTTTGTAGTTGGAGTATATCCTTTCCTTCCAAGTTTTTATATCTTACTAAGAATTTATATTTCCAAAAACAATATATGCTGTACTTTTTGTTTTACAGTTTCACATAAATGGCATCATACTATATGCTTTCCTGTTTCCTTTTTCAACTTGCTTTTTCCTCTCTGCATTTGCTGAGATTTATCTAGGTTGATACATACAGACCTAATTCATTCATTTTTAAAAACAGCTTTGTTGAGATATAATTCATGCACCGCACAATTCACCTTTTAAAGGTGTACAATTCAATGCTTCTTATTACTGTCCCAGAGTTGTACAACCATCAGCACAATTAATTTTAGAACATTTTCATCACCCCCCAAAGAAACTTCATACCCTTCAGTAGTCACTTCCCTCCAATACCTGCTCCTCCAACCTTAGGCAACCACTAATCTATCTTCTGTCTCTGCAGACTCGCCTGTTCTGGACGTTTCACTTAAATGGGATCGTACAACATGTGGTCCTTGGTGCCTGGCTTCTTTTCAAGGTTCATCCATGTTGTATGTAGCATGTTTCAGTACTTTTTATTGAGGAATACTTTTTCATTGTATGGATATATCACATCTTGTTTATTCATCCATTGATGACTTTGGGTTATTTGGTTATTACGAATTATGCTACTATGAAGATTCATGTACACGTTTTTTTGCCAACACGTTTTTATTTCCCTTGAGCAGATATGCAGAAATGGAACCGATGAGCCATAAGGTAACTCCATGTTTAACATTTTGAGGAACTGCTAAACTGTTTCCCAAAGTGGCTGTGCCATTTTACATTCCCGCTAGCAATGTATGAGGTCCTAATCTATTCCTGCTAGCAATGTATGAGGTCCTAACCTATTCCTGCTAGCAATGTATGAGGTCCTAACCTATTCCTGCTAGCAATGTATGAGGTCCTAATCTATTCCTGCTAGCAATGTATGAGGTCCTAATCTATTCCTGCTAGCAATGTATGAGGTTCTAATTGTCAACAATTATTCTTGTCCATCGTGTTTAGTACAGCCATCTGAATGGCTGGGAAGTGGTATTTCACTGTGGTTTCGATTTGTATTTCCCTAACGAACTAATGACATTGAGCATCTTTTCATGTGCACATTGGCCATCTGTGCATGAGAAATGCCTATTCAAATCCTCTGCCCATTTTTAAATTGGACCTTTGTCTTTAATATGGAATTTTTATGTGTTCTGGATACAAGTCAGATATATGATTTTCACATATTTTCTCCTATTCTGTTGGTTACCTTTTCACTTTCTTAAAGGTATTATTTGTAGCACAAAAGTTTTTAATTTTGATGTAGTCCAATTTCTTTTTTCACTTGTGCTTTTGGTGTGTATCTAAGAAACCATTACTTAATTCAAGGTTATAAAAATTTACTTCTATTTGTTTTTCTAAGAGTTTTATACTTTTAACTCTCACATTTAGGCCTATGATGCATTTTGAATGAATTTTTGTGTATGGTGTGAGGTAAGGGTCCAACTGTTTTTTACATGTGGATGTTCAGTTGTTCCAGCACAATTTGTTGAAAAGATTCTTCTTTCCCTACTGAATGGTCTTGGCACCTTTGTCAAAACTCAATTTACCATAAATGTGAGTGTTCATTTCTGGACTCTCAATTCTATTCCATTGACCTATATGTCTATCCTTATGCCAGTACCACACTGTCTTCATTACTGTAAATGTGCAGTAAGTTTTGAAATTGGGAGGTATGAGTCTTCCAACCTTGCTCTTCCCATTTCAGATTGTTTTGGCTATTCCGGTCCCCTTGCAATTCCATATGAATTTTAGGGATCAACTAGTCAATACTTGCAAAAAAAAGTAGTTGAGATTTTGACAGTGAATCTGTTGCATATGTAGATCAATTTGAACAGTATTACTATCTAACAATTAAGTGTCATGCTCCAAGAATACGGGATGTGTTTCTATTAATTTAGATCTTCTTTAATTTCTTTCAGCAATGTGTTGTAGTTTTCAGTGTACACTTCTTTTGCTAAATTTATTCCTAAGTATTTAAATTCTTTTTGATGGCACTGTAAATGTGAACTGTATTCTTAATTTTATTTGTTGAATAAAATTCATTGTTAACATATGGCTATGCAATAAATGACTTCTGTATATTGCTCTTCCATCCAGCAGATTTACTGAAATCATTTATTAGTTCTAATAGTTTGTTAGTGGATTCCTTATGATAGGACGTTTTCTATATGACTTTCCTATATATAAATGTCATCTGCAATTACACTGTTTTACTTCTGTCTTTTCAATCTGGATGGCTTTTCTTTTCTTTTCTTCTCTTTTTTTTCCCCTCTAATTTCCCAGGCTAGAACTTCTAACACAATGTTACATAGAAGAGGCAAGAATGCACATCCTTTTCTTGTTCTTTATTCTTTTTTGCGGTACACGGGCCTCTCACTGTTGCGGCCTCTCCCGTTGCGGAGCACAGGCTCCGGACGCGCAGGCTCAGCGGCCAGGGTCCACGGGCCCAGGTGCTCCACGGCACGTGGGATCTTCGCGGACCGGGGCACGAACCCGCGTCCCCTGCATCGGCAGGCGGACTCTCAACCACTGCGCCACCAGGGAAGCCCCCTTTTCTTGTTCTTGATCACAGGGGAAAAGCATTCAGTTTTCACTGTTAAGTATGATGTTACCTGGTTAAGTGTGTGTGTGTGTTTCAGACGTTCTTTATCAGGCTGAGGAAATTCCCTGAGTATTTTTGTCACAAAAGGATGTTTGATTTTGTCAAATGCTTTTTCTGCATCCAACTACCATATAGTTTTTAGTTTTGATTCTATTAATATATTACATTGATTTTCAGGTATTAAACAAACCTTGCATTCTTGCTGTGAATCCCGGTTAGTTATGGACTTGTTGGATTTGGTTTGCTGTGAATCCCGGTTAGTTATGGACTTGTTGGATTTGGTTTGCTGTGAATCCCGGTTAGTTATGGACTTGTTGGATTTGGTTTGCTAGTATATTTTTGAGCATTTTGGCATCCATACCTTATGGGAGATGTTAGTCAGTAGTTTTCTTTCCTCGTGATGTCTGACTGGTTTTGACATCAGGGTGAATTTTTCCTCATAGAATAAATTGGGAAGTGTTTCTTCCTCTTCTACTTTTTTGGAGAGTTTATGAAGAATTGGCATACTTTTGTCTTTTGTTTGGTAGAGGTCACCAAGGAAGGCTTTTCTTGGTAGGTAGGTTGGTTTGTTTGTTTGTTTTTTTACGGTTTTTTTTTTTTTTTTTTTTTTTTTTTACGGTATGCGGGCCTCTCACTGTTGTGGCCTCTCCCGTTGCTGAGCACAGGCTCCGGACGCGCAGGCTCAGCGGCCATGGCTCACAGGCCCAGCCGCTTCGCGGCATGTGGGATCTTCCCGGACCGGGGCACGAAACCGTGTCCCCTGCATCGGCAGGCGGACTCTCAGCCAATGCGCCACCAGGGAAGCCCCAGTAGGTAGGTTTTTGATTACTAATTCTTTACTTGTCGTAGGTTCCTGTTTTTCTTGAGTAAGTTTCAGTAATTTGTGTCTTTCTAGGAATTTGTCCGTTTCATGTAAGTAACCGAATTTATTAGAAACAACTTCATATTATTCCTTTACTTTTATTTTGCCTTTTATTTCTGTAAGGTTGGTATTAATGTCCCTTCTTTTATTTCTGATTCTAATAATTTGGATCATCTCTCTTTTTCTCTTGGTCAGTCTAGCTAAGCGTTTGTCAATTTTGTTGAAATTTCAAAGAACCAACTTTTGGTTTCATTCATTTTCTCGATTGCTCTTCTCTCCTCTAACTCATTTATTTTTGTCCTAATAGTAGTACTTCCTTTCTTATGCTTGCTTCAGTTTTAGTTTGCTCTTCTTTTTCTAGTTTCATAAAGTGGAAGGTTAGGTTACCGATTTGAGATCTTTTAAAAGTATTAACATTTATAGCTATAAATTCCCTTCTGAGCACTGCTTTAGTGACACCACTTAAGTTTCAGTATGTTGCATTTTCATTTCCGTTTGTCTCAAAGTAAATATTCTATTTTCTTGTGTGATTTCCTTGACCTATTGGTTATTTAGAAGTGCGATGTTTAATTTCCCATATTTGTTAACTTCCCAAATTACTTTCTGTTATTGATTTTTAATTTAATTCCACTGTGGTTGGTAAACATACTTTGGATCACTTCAGTCCTTTTAAACTTACTGAAGTTTGTTGTGTGGACCAGCATATGAAGAACATTCCAGGTGGGGGCTTGAGAAGAGTATGTATTCTTCTGTTAGGTGGCACGTACTATAGACAAGTCCAAGTTCAAGTCTCCTATTTCCTTGTTGATCTTCTGTCTATTGTTCTATCCATTATTGAAAGTAGAGTATTAAAAATCTCCATCCAGCTATTATTGTTGAATTTTACATTTCTCCCTTCAATTCTGTCAGGTTTTTTTTTTTTTTTTTTTTTGCGGCATGCGGGCCTCTCACTGTTGTGGCCTCTTCGGTTGCAGAGCATAGGTTCCGGACATGCAGCCCAGCGGCCATGGCTCACGGGCCCAGCCGCTCGGCGGCATGTGGGATCCTCCTGGACCGGGGCATGAACCCGTGTCCCCTGCGTCGGCAGGTGGACTCTCAACCACTGCGCCACCAGGGAAGCCCCAATTCTGTCAGTTTTTGCTTCATGTATTTTGAGGCTCTGTTGTTTGGGTTAGGTTATATTTATAACTGTTATAACTTCCTGGTGGTTGACACTTTCATCATTATGAAATCTCTTCTTTATTTCTAGTAACATTTTTGTTTTAACGGCTATTTTGTCTGATATAAGCCACTCTAGCTCTTTTATGATTCTTTTTAGCATAGTCTCTATTTCTATCCTTTTAACTTTCAACCTCTTTGTACCTTTGGATGTAAGGTTTTTCTCCTGTAGATAGTATACACATGATCTCATTGTTTCAATCTAATCTGGCAATCCCTTAATTTTTATTGGTTTATTCATTTTTAACTGTTGGATGTATTATTCCATTGCAAGAATATACCATAATTTATTTCTTCATTTCCCTATAATGGATATTTAATTTCCCCCCAGTTTTTTACTTGAAAATTTAGCACTATTTATAATAGGAAAAAAATGTAGACAATCCAAACGTTCTTCAGCAGATACTCCATGATCCTTCTGCACTATAGAATAACATTTTGAAAGTATGTGGTGACATAAAAAGATCCCAAGACATCGTTTATTTAAAAAACTAAAGGGAGGGAGGGAGACGCAAGAGGGAAGAGATATGGGGATATATGTATATGTATAGCTGATTCACTTTGTTATAAAGCAGAAACGAACACACCATTGAAAACCAATTATACTCCAATAAAGATGTTAAAAAATATATAAAAGTAAATATGTACACACATACATGTGGTATAATTAAAAAATATATTTGGTCTTTGCCCCTGGTTCCCAGCACAGAGTGACAAAAGAGTGTGAATGCTTTTTGTATGGTAACAAGATAACTCTTGGGTAAGGGGCCCCTAGTAGCTTTAGGATGGGAGCTGAATGCCAGAAGAACCAGGCAAGTGATTAGAAGGTTGTAACTTTCAGCCCCACATTCCTGCCTCAGGGGAGGTGAGAGAGGCTAGAGATTGAACTCAATCACCAACAGAGAATGATTTAATCAATCACACATGTAATAGCACCTTGATGAAAATCCCTCAATGATGGGGGGCAAAGAGCTTCCAAGTTTCTGAATTCAAGCACATGCTGGGCGAGTGGCTCATCTCAACTCCATGGGAACAGAGGCTCCTGTGCTCAGGACCCTTCCGGACCTCCTCATATGTGTTTTCATTTGTATCCTTTAAAATCAACTATTATAATAAGTATAGTGTTTTCCTGAGTTCTGTGAGCCATTCCAGCAAATTACTGCCCCTGGCGAGGAGGCTGTGGGAGACCCTGATTTAGAGCTGCTCAGGCAGAGGGCAGGTGGCCCTGGGTTTGGGGCCACCATCCGAGGCGGGGGCAGGCTTGTGGGATTGAGCCCTTAGCCTGTGGCATCTTTGCTGCCTCTGGACAGTTAGTGTCAGAATTGAACTGGATTGCTGGACACCCAGTTGGTGTCAGAGAATTGGTGGATGTGTGAAACAATGACACGTATTTGGTGTCAAGAAAACACTGTACATTTGGTGTCAGAAAAAATATCACAACACAGTATAAACTCATTCATGTAATGCAATACCTATAATTATATAGGTAGGGGTGTGTGTGTGTAGGTGTGTGTGTGTGTGTGTGTGTGTGAGAAAGAGAAGGGGAGAGAGAAATAGGGAGAGGGGAGGGGAGGGAAAGAAGGAGGGAGGGGAGAAGTGTGAGAGGATCTGATTATACTGACTCTGTCTAAGGAGAGGGAGGAATTCTGAGGTTACTGGCCAGGAGGACTTGGACGTTACCTATACTGTTTTACTGTTTACAACACACACACCTATCAATGTGTTATGTGTATAGTTTGAAAAACGAGAAAAAGAAAAATGAACAAAGATGACAGCCAAGTCTAGGGAAATAGATGTGCCGATATGTAACATCTGCCTTCCTGCCCACGCCCTCAGATGGCCACAGCCCTGATATCCTGTTTGTACCAAATAAACCCTCCAGCCACAGCCGACTGACCTGCTCCAAAGAGGACCAATCCCGAGGCTGGGTGCGCTAGTCCAACCCCTTGGCCTGGGAATTTCCTATGGGCCAAAGAGACGGTGGGGCGGGTGAATGTGCTGTGGGGAATTAGCTAGAAGGTGGCATCAGGGTGGCCACAGTGGAGGCTAGAACTTGGCCAGAGTAAAGCAGAGCCCCAGGCAGGTCGAGGCTATGGAGGTGGAGGGAGCTGGTCTGCCAGGTGGAGCTGCAGTGAGAGACCCCGAGGGCCCCTGAGAAGTGGCAAGAGTTCTCTCTCTGGGTGTATAACTCTACTTCCCAGCCCTGTAAGCCTTGGCCACATGTGATGTCTGGTCCTTGCTACAGACCTTCAAGAATCTCCCCATTAATTTGAGATGGAGACTCGTGTATGAACATTCAACAGAGGCATCGTGTATCCAAAAAACCTGGACACCCTACAGACGTCCCGACACAAGTAGAGGGAGTAAATACTGTGCGTATTCAACGATGGCATACCCTACAGCAGGGCAGGGGCAAAGAACTACGGCCCATGCGTCAACACGGACGGATCTCGGGGAGGTGACGCTGAGTGTAAAAGCAAGTCACGAAAGATTACGTGCGATAGGGGAGCGCCCACGAAATTTCCCAAACATACGCAACTCAGCTGTACGGTTGAGGATATACTGCAAAACTATACTGAAGAGCAGGGGTCTGATAAACGTCAGAAGGGTGAGGGCAGCAGGACGGCTGTGATGTGGTGGGACACATAGGTGACAGGGTGATCCTGGGAAATACTGCTTCAGCTGGGACACGCGTGTCCATTTTACTGTTCTTTGTTTCACTGATACACGTACACATTTTTATGTGCGTGTGTGTGTGTATAAAAACGTACGAAATATTTCATGGGCAGGAACTTTGGATAATGTAGCTAGGCTCCAAAGAAAAAAAACCCACCTTGACCACAATTTCAAATGTATTTCTCTTCTCAAACGCTTCCCTGTAACTCAGCCTGACTCGGCCCCATCACCTGGAGGAACCTGGATGAAACGCCAGCTCGGAAACACGCTCTTAGACACCGAGGCCCTGAGCTTTAACAGCCTATCGGGCTGGACGGTCCTCCCTCCCCTCAACTGTAGCCAGAGATGATGGCAACTCGGACAGTACCCTCAGCAGGGTCTGGCTCGGTCTTGAGTCAAACCCTAGACCACATCTGTCTTTCTACACACAGCCAGAAAAAGCAAGTTCAAGCCTCCCGGGCCACATTCTGCAGGAAGGGCTATTTTGCTCAAGTTCTTACAGGCTCAAGGAGACTACCTGCCGGTGGACAAACTCCATGGCAGCTGCTGGTCTCACGTCCCTCCGCCATTCGTTGGAAACATGGACGGTGTGGCCCCAGCTGCTGCTACGATACAGTTCAGCATCTCTGTCTTGACCTCCGAGCTGAGGGTGGCCCCCACCAGCCCCCACGGTCGCACCTCGCCTGACGGTCTCTGATTCTCCACCAGGTGCCCGCTCGCTCAGAACCTGCTTCCTGCACCTCCCTCGGCCTGGAACCCTCCCCTCCCCGCTCCCCTGGCAAGTCTCAGGTAACCTCGCTTTCTATTTATTTTACATAAAGGAGACACCCGTGAAGTACCTGGCATAGAGTCGGCGCCCAACGGACAGGAGGTGACTTTTATTCCTTTTACTCCTTCTGGTTGGGGCTGGTCCTTCCCTGAGGCAGTTTCCTTCCGGATGTGGAGGTCTGATGGGCAGGATCTGTAAGAGGAAAGATAATATGACTTGAAACAAGGCCACAGGTTGGAGACAGAACCATTCAAGCAGCGAAGGGGCCCGCTGCTTTGGAAGCAAAGGCCACACAATCCCAGGGCCCGCATCTCTTCAGGTGATGGGGACGCAGTGGACTACGGCCTGGAGCTGCTGGGGGAGAAGGGCTTTTGTTCCCACTGATGGACAGCCGGGAAGGCCACTGGGCCCAGGTCCCAAGCCTCTGGGAGTGGAGAGAAGGCCACCTGTGGGGCTGCTCATGGCCGGGTGGAAGCTCGTTAGAAGTCTTTGATAGAAGCATTTGCAGAGTGCAGAGGTTCTAATCAGCTAGTAATTCATCAGGTCAAAAGCAGCAAACCACACTCCTGAGTCCAGAAGCGTTCCCTTCACTGTGAGTGACGTCTCAGCTCTGCCCGCCGTGGTTTTGGGCAGGAACACGCCGTCACTTCCCCAGGGCGGCGTTCCTTACGGTGACTGGCAAGGCCGTCATGCCCAGCCAGTCCCTCCAGGAGCCCAGCTGGGGCTGTGGGTTTTGAGGGAAAGGGCCGGCTCTCCTTCTGGAGAAAGGGCGGTAGAGGAGAGGGCGGTAGAGGAGGGGGCGGTGGATGGCGGGGGAGCAGACCCTGAGAAGGTCAGGAGGGGCCGACACCGGTCTTCTTTTTTTTTTAAACTTTTTTTTTTTTTAGTGGTTTGAGAGATGGCAATTTTATTTATTTATTTATTATTTTTGGCTGTGTTGGGTCTTTGTTGCTGCGCGCAGGTTTTCTCTAGTTGCGGCGAGCGGGGGCTACTCTTCGTTGCGGTGCGCGGGCTTCTCATTGCAGTGGCTTCTCTTGTTGCACAGCACGGGCTCTAGGTGTGTGGGCTTCAGTAGTTGTGGCTCGGGGGCTCAGTAGTTGCGGCTCATGGGCTCTAGAGTGCAGGCTCGGTAGTTGTGGCGCACGTGCTTAGTTGTTCCGCGGCATGTGGGATCTTCCCAGACCAGGGCTCGAACCCGTGTGCCCTGCGTTGGCAGGCAGATTCTTAACCACTGCGCCACCAGGGAAGTCCCCGACACCTGTCTTGACAGCTGCCAGGGTCCCTTGGCAGGGGCTCCAGACAGCTGCTCCAAACCCACAGCTCCACTCAGGGGTGACGGGGACCCTGGGATGCCATCGTTTAATCAGAAACTTGTTGGGTTTTGGCTTTGAGGATTAATCATAGATGACACCAGATCTCCCAGGGCTGACAGCAGCTCTTCTTGTTGGGTGTCAGCTTGGATCGGAGTCAGCTGTCTCAGACCCTCAGCCCCGGGGAGGTGGCGGCGACATGCTTCTCTGGAGGACACTGTCTCCTTGGTCTCCTTGGCTGTGGGGCCCCGGGCGAGGGCTGGGGGAGCAGGAGATCTATGGGCCGTCCTCAGCCCAACAAACCAAGGCCCAGGGAGGCCCAGGGAAATGATACTTCTCTGTATTTGCATTAAACAAAGAAGTATGCATTTGCATTTTTCCTCTTTCATAATCAGAAGAAAAAGCTTTAAGAAAATTCATAGTAGGAGAGGTTTTCATTGCAGGAAAGGGAAAGCAAGTTTGTACTATCCGATGATGTGTCGATGTAGTTTGGGGAAACTGAGGCACAAGACACCCAGTAATGAGGCTGAACTTTCTATTTCTGCCCTTTGAATTTTGAGATCACCCTCGAAAACTTGGTCCTAAGGTCGGGGCAAATGTATCGGCTACATCTCCTGAGCGATTAACTCATAGGTATGACATTCAACTGGTGGAAACATCATCCCTGTGTTTACAGACGACTTAGTCTGCCAGGCACTTGGCTAAGCCCAACTGCTCGAGAACTCTTTGACACAGGTGGTTTTGTCACCACCACCACCATCATCATCACCGTCATCACCGTCATCACCACAGTACAGCCAAGAAAATCAAACCTGGGAGAGGTTCCAAGTCACATGATTGGCATGGAAGGCTGGATTTGGACTTAATCACTACCATACAGCCCCTAGAATTGCCTTTTTAAAAAAAGTTTACCTTTTAAATGACTCTAACCAGAAAGTGTATGTACAAAATCTCCCTGAAATATCACTTTATCACACAAACTTAAGACAGAACTAAAACCAAGTTCTAAGATGCCAGATATTGGCTCAGGGTTCAAAAGAATAACTCCTGCTTCTCAAAAGAGGAGTCAATTGCTTGGTGAGTTATGAGCTCCCCGTCATTGGTGTTATTCAAGCACAGTCAGCCAGGGATTATTCATGCTCCAGGGAAGCCCATTGTGCAAGCAGAACTTGCATGCACAGTTTTTGTTCCCTCCCACATAAGAATAAACAGAGAGGCAAGGGGCGCTTAAGGTTTAAGCGAAGTCCCCACATGAAAGGAAGAGATCGAAATAGACAAACTGATACAGGGAAACGGCAGAAAGCAGACAGTGCGTTAAGAGAAAACGGAAAAAACACAATCCAATAATTAAAATCCATTAAGAGATTAGATAAGATATTGCAGTCATAAAACAATAGTAGGGTGCTTTGACAAGGGAGCAAAGGACAAGAAAGCGTTCTTCATGATTAAAATAAAGTCGCCGAAGTTTATAATCGATAGAAAGTTTGGAAGATAAAGTTGAGGAAATCGCCCCGAAAGTTAAAAGTTAAGAGAAGGAAAATAAGAAAGGAGGGAAATGAAGTCAGTTTAGAAGGTCTAATATCCAATAAATAGAAATCATGCAGAAATTATGCTTCCTTTCCTGTATATCTCGTGGGGATACAATGTCAATTATAGAATGAAATTATCAGAGAAAATAGTATTAGAGGATTCTCCAAATGTAAAAACATGAGTCTTCAGTTTTATTTTTTATTTATTATTATTATTTTTAAAAATATTTATTTAGTTGCACCAGGTCTTAGTTGCGGCAGGCGGGCTCCTTAGTTGTAGCACGTGGGCTCCTTAGTTGAGGCTCCAGGGCTCCTTAGTTGTGGCATGTGAACTCTTAGTTGTGGCATGCACGTGGGATCTAGTTCCCTGACCGGGGATCGAAACCGGGCCCCCTGCTCAGTACTGAGTACTTTAAGTGCTCAGTACACTCAGTGGAAAATAACCTTCTCAGAATATCATTCTGAAATTTCAGGGCACCAGGGGATAAGAGAAGACCCTAAAATCCTCCTGGGAGAAAGCATTAGGTCATGTGCAAAGGACTAGAAGTAAGTTTGGCATCAGATCTTTCGACAGTAATGCTGGAAGCTGGGTGATGCCTTCACATTTCCAATGGAAGATACTTCTAAACCTAGGATCCTATACCTACCCAAACTATTACCTGTGAAAAGAGAATGATGCTATTTTCAGAAAGGTGAGGACTCTAAACATTTAGATCCCACGCACCCTTTCTTAGGAAGCTACTGCAGGCTATGCTCCAGTAAAATGAGGGAATAAAATGATAAAGAAGAAGGTATGAAGGCCAGGAAACAGAGCAGCAAGGGAAGTTGCAGGATGAGAGGGATGCAGTAAAAAGCAGCTGGCCAAGATTCTGGCAGGATCATGGAGGGCCCACTAGATGCAGACTGCCAGGGGGAAAATAATGAACCATTATCTGATATATTTCATAATTTAGGAAATATTATTATTAGGCAAATGACAGGTCTGAGAGTCAGAAAGAAAAAATTGAGGATAGGTACGTTAAAAAAACCTCAGCAAGTGAAAAAAAAGAGAGGCGACATTAACTTTGGAAAAAACAAAAAGATAGGAAAGGAAACATAATCTCAGCATACAACTTGCTTCAACACGAACAATATTTACCTGGTCACGATAATGTAACAGGTAAAACTGATCTAAATGTACCGAGATGATGGCGGGGGTGGGGGGCGAAGCGCACGGAGTGGGGAACTAGGAAAAGGGAGCTAAATTATCATCCACCTAAAGGCGTGTCAATAATGTCTTAAAACCGACATATCGATAAATAGCAACATAAGTATATTATTTAGAAATAAGGAGGTAGATAACAGAAGAAAACGACATGGAGAAAAAGAGAAGTAGCTGCCTCTGGGGATCAGGGCTGGGGACGGACGTTTTTCATGACAAGCCTACTTTACTTTTTATCTCTGCATGACGTATGTATTATCATGGTAAAAAAAAATTACCTATGTCAATAGTTGGAACCATTTAAGGCATTTCAGTATAAAGAATCAATCAGTTACCTCCATTCTCTGAACACGTACTATATTCTGCTTTTTGTAAAACTTGTCAGACAGCTCACCCCTTCATAAACCAGAAGCGCTGACTATGTGCTGGGCACGTCACAGATGCCGCCTCGCTTAACACTCACAGGAGCCTGATAAGGTCGGTTTTAGGATTCCCACTTTATGACGAGGAGGTCAGATCAGAGAGTTAAATAACAGGGTGAGATACCACAGCCACTAAGTGGCAGAGCAGAGATTCCAACTCAACCCCCACCGACTCAGCATCACCGGGTCTAAAACTCGCCATCATCACAGCTAACACCGATGAAGCACGGCATCTAACCTAACTAATCAGATTCCTTGCTTCCTGGGCTCCATATCTTTCTCTTTTTTTGCTTTATTCCCTCATTTTGCAGGAGCATATCCTCTAATAGCTGTCTAGGAAAAGGGACATGGTGGTTGCTATAAGCAGACACTGGGCTAAATGCTCCATGTGGATTATCTCGTTTACTACAGCAACCCTATGAGGTAGATACCACTACAATCCCCAACTTATGGAAGAGGAAATGGGTTCAGAGGGGTTCAGCTACCTGTCACATGTCTGCTTCATCTTTCCATCCCCCCCTCACTCCCGCCTCCCTGGTAACATTCAGCACGGGGCCTGACTCTTAGGAGGTGCTCAATATATATTTGTTGGGTGAATAAATAAAAGTCAGAACCTGAATGAAATAAACAAGGAGGCTGCAATGACTTCAGATCCAGGGAGTGCCAAGCCCTTTGGAAATGAGCTGTCTCCGTGGGACAGACATCTCTCCTCTCCGCGGGCTGCCCCAGC